ATTATAGTCAACTCTACTAATACTAAGACATTATCTGTTAATAATTATGGACTAAACTACCTATTATTTGACCAATTATCCTTAATAGATAAGGTGTGACGAAAAGTCATCTTTAATATGAGGAAGTGTGATGAAATATTCTCTTCCATTTGAGGATGTGATGAAAAAATTATTCTCGACATGAGGGGTGTGTTAAGAAATCTCACATTAATTAGAGATATAATAACATAATATTAGAGATATAATAACATAATAACATATAGGTGAGTACAATCCTCATCTTATTTAATCAATATAGGTGAGTACAATCCTCATCTTATTTAATCAATTGTATAGGATTTAATTAAGTGTCTCATGATTTCTAATTGATAAAAGTTATTGATCGACTAACAAGGTCACCTAATAACACTTGACAACAATTGACATTAGGAGCAACTCATATGATCATCAAGTGCTCATTTGATCCTCGAATGCTTCTCTAATCCTCAACTTCTCAAATAGCCTTTAACAATTTGTTTGATTCTACTAATAATTATAATTGACTGTAGTAACTTGTTTAGTGGTTGACTTTCAAAATATTTGACAAACATATTTATTGGTTGCTCGTTTGATGAACTCATTTATGAGGTCTTATCTAACGTGCTCCTATATTGATGAACTCATTTGTTGAGGTCAACTTATTATGAATATATAAAAAATGTATTTATTCCTCAAATAAATAACATAATTTAGGTTTGAAATAAATTGAGTTTGTTCAATATACTCATAAATCTTACATTATTTATGAACAAGACAAATGGTAATTTTTAGGGTTAAGTATGTTTTTAGTCCCTATACATGTGAAATTGAAAATAGTCCTTCTGTCATAGTTCACATAAAAATGATCCCTATACTTTTGAAATTATTGAAATAAGTCCCTATTTTAAACGGAGTTAAATATATGTTGACCTGCCTAACGTAAATTGCATGACTCATTCATTATTTGACATGTGTAATTATTTAAAAAAATAAAATTAAAAGGTGTCAAACTTTTAAAAGTCATTTAAATATGCATTTATAACATTTAAAAGCCATTTAAAAAGAAATTTAAATTTCTTTATCATTTATAAGTCATTTAAATCCAAATTTAAAACATTTAAAAGCCATTTAAGAATGGATTTATGTCCAGATCATTCCTTTTGAATTTAAATACAATTCATCTTTGAAATGAATTAAATTTTGCATTCTTTAAAAATGGAGTGTATCATACATGTTTTTGCACATACACATACCATTCAAATACATGTTCCTGCATTTAACATGTTTCTTTACAGAGAAACTCATTGTAATCCTACAATGTGAAAAATTGATTCAAAAATGTACGAGAAAAATCCTAAATCATTTTAACAAAACCTCCAAAATGCATGCATTAGAACACAAAATAAACATTTAGTTTCGCAAATGAAAAAATATACCTTAATTTTTGGAAATCAAAACTCTAGCTATGGTATACCACAGTTGCACTGTGTAAAGTGAATAATATTACATGTTTTACATTCATAACTAATCACTTAATGATGCATAAGTTGAAATTTATCTTGCAAAAATACATTTATTTGATTAAATTTATGACAAGGTATAATTTCTAGAACCTGATTGTGTTTTTTGGAAAATATGTATTAAATTTGGGCCTTTTTGGTGATGCAGGCCAACAACTTAAAATTTCAATATCCGCTCAGTGGATTCCCAGGTGCCCAGCGGATATGAGGCTGTAAACATAATTTCCACTCAAATCCGCTTAGCGGAATTTTCCGTGCCCAGTGGAATTGTAGCCGCAACAAAATGGGAATTTCAAGCTTTAATGCGCCCCGCGAATTATATGTCGCCCAGCGGATTAGGTTCCTTCAAGCTGAAGTATTTACATATCCGCTCAGCGGATTAACTAGCGTTGAGCGGATGATAAACCCCTATTTTAATATAATAAATTTTTAGTGAGAGAAAGGGTATTGAAAAAAAGAAAACAAAAAGAAAGAGAGAGAGAGAGACAGAGAGGAGATCGACTAGAGCTTCAGGAACGCAAATTCAAAGCAAAATAGAAGGTCGGATAGCTTGGGAACAAGAATCTACCTTCACTGTTGCTTATGTTCTGTAATTTTCTTCTCTTTCTTCTTTGTACTTTCTCCCATGAAGAGCTAAATTCTCTGGATTAAATATGATGTAAATTCTATTTTGCAATTCTCTGAATGTAATCAATTTCTGTTTACCCAATTGTGTTTGATTTTGTGCGTATTACTTAATTTGGTTTGATTAACTAGATTAAGATTTAAGTTTTTGAGGTATTCAGAAGAAAATCTGAAATTCTGGAACTGTTTAGACACCAAGTAAAATCAAATTGTAGGAATAGATATGGTCTTACTTGTCCTTAATCTTCAAAGTGAAAATTTAATGTTGGATGTTGAATTTGATTCATTGAGGAATCATGTTGAAAAGTCAATATTTTAGATCTTAGTATTGAGGAATCATACTGAGTGAATTAAGGAGAATGAAATTGGACTAACAAAATCATGAATATTAAGAAAATGGTCAAATAGAAAATGCATCATATTTAATCACTCATTACAGTTAAATTTCTTTCACTGTTCTAATTTTATGTTTATGTGTGGTTACAGTTGATTTCAAGATCTGTACATGGTTAAGTATGAAGATTCATTTAAATTAGAATCATTAATTCACAAATCTCTGTGGATGACTTTATAAATACTACATCGAAATTTGGTACACTGCCAAGTAAAATTGTGAATAAGAAAATTTTCACCACACTGCCAGTCGAACCACAATGAACCGATGAAACTCTCGAACTTCAAAGTCACTTTGACTTCATACAACCTTTACGGAGAAAGGGGAAGAAAAAAATATCTTTGGTGTGTGACGAAAAGAAGAGAGAACGAAAAATAACCGTGGCAAAAAAAGAAGAGAGAATGAAAAGTGGTTGTGACGAGAACCGAAGAACTTTGGTACGTGAGGAGAAAAGAAAAACTTATACTTTTTAATTTTGTTTTTTTTTAATAATAATCTCTGTTGAATAATTTATATTTTTTTAAAGAAGAGTTTTGTTTTTTTCTTAAAAAATAATTACACGTGTCAAATAATGAATGAGTCATACTATCTCTGTTAGACATGTTACCATATATTTAACGTCGTTTAAAATAAGGACCTATTCCAATCATTTCAAAAGTATAAGAATCATTTTTATGTGAACTTTGACAGAGAGATTATTTCTAATTTCACATGAAAGTACAAGGACTAAAAACATACTTAACCCTAATTTTTATCTTAGTTCACCAAGACATTTTTAAAGGAAAAATCGTGACTGACTAGAATTTCAATGCAGATACTACTTCAAACATAGTAATTGATCTTATTAATATTATTGTAACATACATGAAGTCAGGTTAGGACACTATTGTTTCTATATATAATATTGACACCTATTTTGGGGCATAATCTAGATTTTTAATTTATCACTTACCCCTTAGTCTTTAACTGAGCACTATGTTCCGATATACATTCATAAGTCTCTCATCATTTAAAAATTGAAGTAAATGATAATTTATATACATTATCATCTCTTAATTCATTGAAAGGTTTTTTAAGAACAAAATTGTAACGTGTTAGAATTTTAAAATGACAATATCTCAAATATGGTAATTTATCCTAACAATGTTATCATAACGAGCATGAGGTCAAAACATTATTGTTTATTGAAATTCAATCCATTTTTATCCTTATAGATTCACAAGTTTCACATTATTTAAGATTTGAGGCTAAAGATAATTTGTATACACCATTTTTCTTAATCCATCAAGACGAACTAAAGTGAATAATACAAAAAATGTGATAATGGATCTCACTCATGGTATCATATCAGACATGAAATCAAACACTCTCATTCTTATCTGAATATTAATGTCCACCATGGTATTAAAGATAAAAATCCAATCCACTTGTATTCCTTAGTCTTGGGTCATCTTTCGTTATACATTCATAAATTTTATATCGTTTAAGAGTTGTGATAAAAAATAATTTATATATACCCTCTTTTCTTAATCTTTTAAATGTTTATTATGTACAAAATTATGTCAATTATAATGTTAAAATATATAATATTAAAAAATAATAATTAACTTTAATGATAGTATCATAATAAATATAAACTGACAAGATTATTCTTTCTCAAAACAAAACTAATTTTAATTATATATATATATAATTTTTTAGTTTACATATATTAATAAATAAAATTGTCAAAGTAAACTTTACTAGGGAAATTCATAAATATGTAAAAGAAATTGTAATTTAATTTAATTAATCATCTTTTATTTAACTTATTACTTAAATGAATTTAAACTTAATTAAAAACTTATAAAATAATAATTATATTTAAAAAATTAAGAATAATATCATACTATTTAATATATATATATATATATACATTTATTTTAATTTATACATCAATTTATTATATTTAAAATTATTTTAATGAGCCAAACTAATTCATTGATTGAACATAAATCATAATACATATAAAATACTAATTAAATCCACAAAATTTTGTTAAGCGATTCTTTAGTTAACAACTTATTTTAAAACCGTTTATTCGGATGACTATAAATTAATTTAATTAATTGAAAATTTTAAAATACTATAGATAATTAAAGATTAAATCAAATTTATTTTAATCATTAATACATTTTCTATTTTTACTCTCTCGTATTATTTTTATTAGATAGTTTTTCTACTCATTTATTAATTTACATTATTTTTACAGAATTTACTAATATTATCCAGTAAAATGATAAAAATACCAGAGTATCAAAATCCGAAGCCCAATCCGTCGTCGTTCAGCAAAAAAGTGCTGAGCAAGAACAACCAAACACGGACGCAGAAGGAAGCGTGGTTTGGCGACTAAACCCAGAACCCTATTGCTTTGATTCTCTTCTGTGTACGATCAGGTTTGAAAAATGGTGGTGAGGATTCGGCTCTCGCGGTTCGGATGCAAGAACAAGCCCTTCTATCGAGTCATGGCCGCTGATAGCAGATCTCCCAGAGATGGCAAACACCTCGAAGTTCTCGGTTACTACAATCCCTTACCAGGTTCTCACTATTCCCTTCTTTTTTTCTCTCTTTTATTTTTCTTTTTCTAATGCCCAATGAGGATTAATTAGATACATGCTTCTAATCAATGCTAACATATGTGTTGTTTCCTCTCAGGTCAAGATGGTGGCAAGAGGATAGGTCTCAATTTCGAAAGGGTGAAGTAAGTGGCTCTTTCTTGCTATTCCAATTTGGGGAAGGTGATTCATCTTTCAATAATTATAAGAATAATTAAATAAGCTAAATTGTAAAAGTTTGTTCCTTCTTCAACATAAGATTTTTAACTTCTGCTAATGGAGAAACATATTTTATTTTATTTTTTTCATCTTGTAGAAAAGTCACCTTAACATGACTAATTAGAGTTAGTTTAGTTGTTTCTGATGAAGAAATAGAAATTTTTCTGGTTGTGTGATTATCTTGTGTATTTTTCTGTTAAAAGTCATTATTCGCGTAGACAGAAATTATTCTTGTCATTTTTTGTTGCTTTTAAGGTATTGGCTTTCTGTTGGAGCTCAGCCTTCAGAGCCTGTGGAGCGGCTTCTATTCAGAGCTGGGGTACTGCCCCCACCGCCTATGGTGGCAATGGGGCGGAAAGGTGGACTGCGTGACACTCGCCCTGTTGATGCTCTTACTGGACGCGTGCTAAGGCAAGAGAATCCGGCTAATGATAAGAACAATGACCATGGACATGAGACTCCTGAAAATCCTTGTTAGGATGTTTTCCTCTTTTTTTGTTGACATTCTAGATATATTTTTATTTCTATGTTGTCAATTGGCTTTACAAGAGAACTGAACAGAATAACTAATGTTGGCTGGAGCAGTTGAGTTCTTTTCTGGGGCAAGACTCTGATCAAATTCTTAGGCTGATAAATGTTATGTGTAATTGAATCAATATAAAATATAAGTTAAACTGTAGGCTATCTTGTTCTGAGTTGCCTGCTACTTTTGTTTTGTGCAAATTTTGAAAGCTGCTATGGCAATAACAAAGGTATGCATTTGATTTTGGGCTTCTTTTTTGTTGCATTGTAAATAGATTTGTGGTATTTTATACTCTCTAGTTGATTTCTTTATTTCTGTGGGTGCATTTTAAAATGTTACCCATTTATCCTGTCCCAAACGTGTTTCCTGGTACTGTAATTTAATTCTGTAATCAAGCCTTATCCTTTTCATGCTAACTTGGAGTGCTATATATTGTCATTCTTCAATGAATGGTTATAGAGTGCTATATATTGTGGTTCTTCAATGAATGGTTATAGTTACAGTGATGTTGCATTGCTCTTGAATTAAGTGTCGAAATTTCAGTTATCCTAGGCTTGCCTAGGGTGATTAGCTATTTAATTGATAACAATGATGACATCTATCCTGAAAATTCTATGTTTTGGTTGTCTAGGAGTTCATGTATTATTTTCTAATTTGATGAAGACATATAAATGCACACCACTAGACTTTCAATTCATGCCTTATTTTAATTGTTATTTTTTTATGGTAAAAGATTGAACGATTATGCTTAATTAAATCTTTTCAAGATTATATTCGATCTCATTGCCTCATCCCTTCTAATATATATCCCTCGTCATGTGACAAAGTAACCTTGGCTTATGAAGTTCTGGCATTAGCACTTGTTGTAGTTATTATAGCTACTATGGCTTGATCTGTTTAGAACGGCTCCAGTCAGTCTTAAGAATCAGCCTATGTTGAGCATTGTTTTGATTCTTAATTTAATGCATTTTTTATTTTACTTTTCTGAATAATTTGTTGGGTTTGGATTCTGATGTAACCTTGTGAATTCATTATTGTTACAACTTATCCTTGATGTAATATTGGTATATATATTTGATATTATGTTTTGAATTCATAAGAAATTTCATTTTCCAAGCATGATGGTAGGACTTTGTATAAGAGAAATTGTTTTGGTTTATGAACTAGCAATAGTAGAATGCACACGTCATTATGGTAGCTTTAGGGGTGAAGTATGAAACATGAAGTGATTTGGTTTGTCTGGGTAAGGAGGTTCATCTCTGAATAGGATGATGACAGATATGTATGTGATGCTGCAAAATGAAATTAGTACAGGGTGTTCTATTCTCAATTGAGAGGTTCAAAGAAAATCCAGTTTGATGCCGTAGTAGGGAGGGGACTTTAGAATTTTCTAGTGCGAGTTTCATGGATGATTATACAACTGATTTTATAACGTAGCTCAGTTCCAGCAGGAGTAAGAAGTTTTTATATTTTTTTTCAGGCCTCATATTCTTCTATCTTCATTTTTGTTACTGGTCCAGTGTGTTTGTTTATTTATTATTATTATTGTTAAGTATGAGAAAATAAAAAGAAAGGGAAAGAGGAAATAAAAGAAAAAACAATTGTTACTGGTCCAATGTGTTTACTTCATCACTGCCTTGCTTGCCCTTTTAAAGTCAACCCAAATATCAATCCTCCATGCTCATTCATTTTAATTTTTTTTTAAAATATCATTTATATGTCGATCCCAAACTTAGCCATGTGAATCAGAAGAAAGAAGCATGAAGAACCTAAGCGTAGTTTGTCTTTAACCCAAAGAGCAAATTGATTGAATCAAGTATTTTTTATTGTAGGTTATTATTTATTTCTCTGCATTTCAATGAATCTGATCATCCAACACTTTTTTTTGGTCGATTGATCAGTGCATGAATCTGACCTAGATTATATGAAATACTTGTTGCTCCCAAATGCTTGTTTATGAAAGAAAATAATGCATGAGTCCCATTTTTTGATAACTTATTTTGTATTTAAATAATTCTATAATAATTTTTTCTACTCAAGTAGTAAAAGAAAAGAAAAACTCAACTTCATTTAATACACAGGATCTATACTCTAAAAACATCTACTAACAAAATTTATTACTAAAAAATGGGATTAAAGTTTATAAATATGTCTTGAACAACCTATAACAAATCAATTTATGTTCATACTTTAAATTCTGTAGAGCACTTAAACAATTCCAACACACACACCAAAATTACGAAGATCAAAACTATTTGTGCACTCAAGTAAACAGAAAAAAATGCAATTAAGTCAAGAAAGAACCAAAAACTAAGAGCATTTGGATGATTTTTTTATTTTTTTAAAATACGGTTTGTTAAACGTTTTTCATTTTCATGAAAAAGATTTTATCATAAATAGTTAGAAAAAAAAAGGGGAAAAGAGATACGTGGAAAATGTTAAGAATATGAGACATAGAATAATGAAGGTGCATTCATCCATAAAAAAAGAAACAATGATTCACAGAAGCTGGTTTATTTGAATTCACGTACATAAAGTCATGCTTTATTGGAAATTATTTGTGATCCTTTTTCCATTGATAACGGAGAACCTTTTGCTTTCAACATTCAAATTCATTTGAAATATTGAATTCAAACTGTTTTCATTTTCTTGTCCACTTCAACATTTTGAACCAAAATGTTTGATACAAAATATTTTTTTTTTTCAGATCTCAACACCTAATATAATAAAGAGAATTCACATCATAATGAAATATTTATAATTTGTAAATAAATGCCTAATTTAATCTTATAAAATATATAAGATGATATTTTTATTTCAAATCTGAATAATAAAGGGTAGTCTAATAATGGTTACCAATAAATCTCATTTTATAAGTAAAAAAAATATTAATTTCAATTTTATATAATATGATTTTGTTATTAAAAGACATATTGAGGATTGAGAGAGGAAAAAGTTAGCATATTATGAGTGCATGTGACGTTACTTTACATCTACGTGGGTTGAATCACAAAAATGATTGACCCTGAGATTTCTGAACAATTTATGTTACCCCATCTCATTGAAAGAATACAGAAAATGGTTGAATTGAATCACCAATTATGTTTTAGAACGGAACAATGGTCCACCATTGTGTACATGCATATGATGGTGCACAACGCTTGCTTGGGTTTTCTAATTTTTTCACATCAATTAATTATTGTCTTCTCATCTCATCGTCACCATTAGCAATCAAACAGTTACTAATTTTTTTGAAATTACTATATTGTAGAAATACCACTAAATTTTTGCATTTTATTTTTTATTATTTTTTTGTTGATTCCCTCTTTTTTTATATCTCATTTTCTAGTTTGAAATTATGTCCCCTCTTCATAAAGTATATGTATATCATATATAGAAAAGTTTTGATGGAGAAACAATCCTCATTTACAGTGGAGATAATATTTATACTCAAAACAAGAGTTTCATTATTAAAAAAAATAAAAAATTAAAGATTTGGTACTTTATTATAGAGATTGATTCAGTGAGAAAAGTGAAAAGATAAGTGAATGGTTGGTTATGAGGTAACATTTATTGTGAATTTGTTTATATTTTAATTTTGAAATTTTTGCTAAAAAATCTTAATATTTTAAGTTTTATTTGTTCATATATTAATATTTGAAAATTAAATATATGAATTGAATTTATTAATTATAATACATATGTATAATATATTTTCTATTTTTTAATATAGTAGGATAAATTATTGATGTTTTGATGTGTCAGTTTCCACGATTACAATACTCAATCTTTATTTTTATTTATTTTAATTTGCTACAAAAGTTTAATATATAAAATTTATTGTTAAATTTAAATTCTTTCTTTCTGTGAGTTTAAATCCTTTCTGTACTTATGATAGTGTTACACTCTGTTTTGACCCCATGTCATTATTATTCTTCACAGAAATAATATTATTCATACAATATATTTTTATAATATGATTTGTATATAAAAAATATGATTATCTTATTTTATTCCTTTTCTAAGTTATTTTGTAATAAAAATTATAAATATAAATATTCACATTTATTTTTCCAGTTCTTATTGTAAAAATTAATATATCACTTTTTTTCTTTTTTTTTCCATGATAAGTGTTTTGAAGTATGATTCACTTTTACATTTTAATTAGTCGTGATTTTATTTTTAATAATCGTCTTGAAAAATAAAAATAAATTATTTTAATTTTAATTTTAATTTTTAAATAATATAAGACTTATTAACTTACGTAACATAATTCTTCCATAAAAAAAACTAAAAAGTAAAATAAGAGTGAAATAATAACTCTATCTTTATTATAAAAATCAACTAAAACTTTTATTAACCACCAATTCTTATACAATCATTTCGAAGGTTAAAATATTTTCATTATATATATTATTTAAATTGTTTTAATAAATAATGATTGAATCAACAACTCAATATCCATAAAACTGTTTGATGGAGCTGAAAAGGGTCTTCTTCATTTCAGATACTAATCAAATCAAGATTAATGATAATATAATGAAATTTTAGTAGGATAGATAAATTGTTTCCACACTATCATTTTCCTTGACTCAACCTTTGAATCTATGGTGGCAGTTGACAACTAATGCTAAACAGTTTCAAATTAATAATGTGACAGACACTGGTTAAATATCACAGAGAAGAAGAGAAAAATGATAAAAGCAAGACACGTGAAGAAGTTGATGAACATGAGAGATACTTTTAATTACAGATCAAGATAGTTGCACCAGTTTATGTTCAACCACTTTTCACACATCATCATCAAATCATACTTTAATCTTATCATAACATAAATGTGGAGTTATTCACTACACGCACATAAATGTTTTCCCAAAATAATAAACCACTGGAGTGACATATTCTTTACGTTTTTTATTGTTCCTGAGATTATTATTATTATTATTATTATTATTATTATTATCAATATTATACTAAAAATAATTAATCTCTTTATTTATATATAAAAAAGTATTTTTAAAGAAAAGAAAATTTTAAAATTTTGGTTTAGCAATTCAATTTTTGTTTTAACTTTCTCTAGATTCAAGAAACGAAATACATCGTGATTCAAATTTTTTGTTTCTATCTGTCCTTTTAAATGAAAATACATAATAAAACAAAGATAAATGTGTTACTTCTGTTGCTAACAATAATGGATGAAAAAAAAAAACGGTGGAGTGAATTGAATATACTGAAATGTAGTACAAGTGAAAGTAAAAGAACAACCTTATAAATGTAAACCTCCTCCAACATGTAATTTGAATCTGGCAGAGAGACTAAAGTACAATTTACAACATCTATCTGTGTATTCTGTCTCTCTTTCGTTTGTACTGCATTTCTGTCTCCAATGGCTACATCGGTGAAGAACAACTTCCTAAACCCTGCACTGGTTTCCAATCTCCAACAAGCACTGATCCGCAGGAAGGACAGTGTGCAGGAACAGCACCAAAACAAAGCCAAGGAACCCACCAAAGCTTCTTCAAAGCCTGTGGTACTTGTCACCAATGGTGAAGGCATAGACTCTCCTGGCCTCACATACCTTGTGGAGGCACTCCTTCGGGATGCTCTCCTTGATGTCCATGTCTGTGCCCCACAATCGTAAGTTTCCTCAAGACATTATTTTTCGTTAGTTTAAGTTGCTGCAATGTGTGGATCATGGCAAAACTTCAACTGGGGTGGGTTGGTTTAAGCCTCAAGGATCTTGACAATGGTTCGTCGTAAATTTAAGTTGTTCTGTAAGGACCATGGCAGAAGTTCAACTGGGTGGGTTGGTTCGAGGATCGTTACGATGGGTTTTTGTTTGCTGATGCAGGGATAGATCGGTGAGTGGTCATTCGGTTACCACTGGGGAGACACTAGCTGTGTGTTCAGCACAAGTTGGTGGTGCCAATGCCTATGAAGTGTCAGGTTGTTCACATTTCTGGTTATGAACAAAATTTAGATGCCATTCTTTTCAAGTGATTTTGTTGTTTATTTTATAAAGTCTTAGTTCAGTAATTGGCATAATGAAGATTTTCATTAAATGTCAAATAGATTATTGAGCTGTAACTCTAATTCTAATTAAAAACAGTTATAAAATTACTTAAACATTATTTGGCTTGAGAATTATCATTATGAGAGTAGGGTATGTTCTATTCTATTCTTTCAAGGATCTTGAATTTTATATGTTTTTGATTTTTTTTAATGGTATTAGGGGGAAAATGCATTTTAGTATGCAGGGAGTTTGAATTTTTTTCTTTTTCAATCTCAGGAACCCCAGCAGACTGTGTCTCTTTGGCTTTATCTGGGGCATTGTTTTCTTGGTCAAAACCTGTTTTGGTAGGTACTGGTGCTATGCACAAAATCTACCATCAACTATCATAATATATATATATATATATATATATATATATATATATATATATATATATATATATATATATACACTATTCACACCACCATTTTGATTACATTACTCTGAAACCAGGTAATCAGTGGACTAAACAAAGGAGCAACTTGTGGTTTTGACACGTAAGTGTGTGATGATGAGCTCTTGTTTTGGTATCTTACAATTCAATTTGGAAAAGCAATCGACTCGCTTTTAGGGATACACAAATCTATTTTGCTTCTAGTTTAGCTTTCAAACTTTGGTATTTTATTTTGATGTTTTTTACTGATGTAGTTTGTACTCTGGAGCTGTTGCTGGAGCTAGAGAGGCATTGATTTGTGGTGTGCCTTCTCTCTGTATATCATTGAACTGGTAATGTTTTGCATTTTTAGTTTCTGTTCTCCTTTTGTCCCTCCAATGATCATATGAACTATGTCAATGCAATGTCTTGCAGGGAAAAGAATGTGAGTTGTGAAAGTGATTTGAAGGATGCAGTTACGGTATGTTTACCATTGATTCACGCAGCCATAAGAGATATACAGAAAGGGATTTTCCCCAATAATTGCTTCCTCAATATAGGGATCCCAAGGTGCCCTCTGACAAATAAGGTTTGTTCCCTTCATCATATTCTAGAGTTTGCAAAAAATTTGCTGCGTATGTAACATATTTTAATGTCCACTATTTTCTTGAGAATCACATAATCTCTCATACATCATCATTTAATTTGATCAACATAAACTTTTTTATTGATGTAAGTCAAGTTTGGATAAACTTCAGCACAAACACTTTTAAGAGAAGAAAATAGAGGTAAAACAAATCTAGTTTCCCTCGTAAGTTAAAATCAATTCATGAACTTCAACTTTTACAGAAGTTATCTGATATAGATTGTTTTTTTTACTTATCAGAGAAGTTTGATTCATTTTACCAATTTATTTACTTTTTCTCTCTAAGTGTTTGATGAAAAGTTTATCCAAACTAAATCATATCACATTTACTTAGACATTGTGCTTTCCAATACATTTTGTGAATAGGGTATCAAAGTGACAAGGCAAAGTCCAAATAGATCTTCTTTAAATTGGCAAGCTGTGTCAACAAATAGGAATCCTTCGGCAGGCCATTACATGTCAAACCAGCAAAGTCTTGGAATCATGTTAGCCCAACTAGGACGAGATGCCTCTGCTGCTGTAAGAATATCTTATCTAATCACATAGCTTAATGCATTCTGTTTCAACAGTTAGTTTTCTTGTTCATAGCAACATTCTTTCATTCTCTCATTTTTCAATGGAACTTGCTTTGTGTAAAACTCTTCAGGCAGCAGCACGCCGTCTGAACTCAAACCGCAAGAACGTGGAGGTTGAATCCATTGGTATTGCTGAAAAATTCAGTTCTGAACAAAGCACAAAGAAATACTTCAGAATGGAGGTACCATTAATACGACTTGCAAAGCAAATAACACATGGTTCTTACATGAATCTAGTTAAACTTGGCACAATGAGGATTGATAAAATTACACATTTGAAACTAAGATCTCGTTCATGCTGATGCTTCCCGTATGACAACAACTTGCATTCATTACCTGAATTCTCATTTGCAGTTAACAGCAAAAGGGCAGCAAAGTAAAGAGGATGGTTTAGACTCTAGAGTACTTGAACAGGGATTTGTGAGTGATAATTTTGTGTTTTCTACCTACCCTATGAGTGATCATATAGTACATTGGTGCAAACTAAACCTCCTATATTATTGTGCTAATTTGTGCTATGTTTCCTTCTGTAATGACAAACCAGGTTACCGTGACCCCTTTGTCTTTGTATGCAAATGGTCACATGGAAATTCAATCATCAGTGTCCAGCTGGTTAGCTATTGCACTCAGTGGTGATCAATGAACCTTGAAGCTATCTCTGTGTGGTGTTCGATGTAGAGTAATTTGCATTGCAATTGTGGCAATTTGAAAGTGAGAGTCAATGCTTCACAAGTTTAATATTCTGAGGCTTTAGAGAGAGTTCTATGTATCACTGGGTAGATACAATCCCATTGAATTAATCTATATATTTCTAGTCCACAGAAATTGTTATTCAGTCATTTACTTGTGACCTGAAAGGATATGCACATCTTGCCATTGAGAAAATTAAGTGACTCCAAAAATGTTTCACCTATTATTCAAGTTTGATGCATAGAAATTTTCTTCCATTTTTACTCAAAATCTTCATGACTTAAACCTATTAAGTTTTCTTCTCTAATTTTCTCACCCAAAATAGAAAACCTCATTCAAAATACCAAAATTACTTGGTATTGACTATAATTATTTTGGCTCACAAATATTAATGTTACTCTTTATGAATTTTTGATTTTTTTTTTTTTTTTTTGAATTTTTAGTTTTCTCTATCCATAGTAAGAAAAAGAAAATCTTCACGAGCTTTGATAAAAAGTAATATTGATGATATTGATAAAAAAAATCTTCACAAACATTGAAAAAAAAATCTCCACAGACTTCAACCGAAATATATTATCTATGAAAAATATTCCTCTGACAAGTAAAACTCAAATTACCATTGATCCAAAAATATAACCTAGTTGACAAAGAAAATAATACCAACAATACTAAATTTTGATTTTTTTGAGGGAAATTCAAAATTACCTAGATTTTAAGTAATTAAGTTACTCATTCATATATATTAATTTCTTTTATAAAATTTATCCAAATAACGTAGTTGTCTATTTTAAATTGTTTATATATTTAAAATTATCCTCTAATTTTTTTTCCTCTGAACACACTAATAAAGTAATGATTGATTATATCTAATATTTAATAAACATAATTATATAAATATAGAATTAAATTGTTCATAATAGTATTATTATTATATAATTTACAATTAAATACATTTCACACTCGAGACTTGAAAAGTTTTTATAGAATGAGAATTTTAATTTTTCAACAGCTAAAAATAAATTTAATGATCATAATTAATAAATAATGAAATATTAGCACTAATGATTTTTATATATAAATTTAATAATAAATATTATATATTGATAATTTTAATACAGTATTAACAATTGATTTTTTTTTTATCAAAGTAGTATTATTTCATGATTAAATATTTTTTTCCTTTACTTGTCAAAATTAATTTTAAATTTTATATTTTAAAATTGATTAATTAATCCTTAAACCCTACAAGAATATGCGAATATAATCCATTAATCAATTTTATAATAAAAAATATTCTTAATATTAATTTTTTAGATGAAAAAAATATTAAAATCATATTTAATTCTTTCATTAATTATGTTAAGTTAAAAAATCTCCACTAACTATTAAATTCAAATATAAAAAAAAGATTAAAATCACATATTTTTATAAATGGGAAGATTAATTAGTTAATTTTCAAATATAAGAATCAAAACCATGTTAGCAAAAAATAAGAGAATAAAAAATATATTTAACTCATATTTTATTTATTATATATATTTTTTAAAATTCATAGTTCATAATTATTATTTTAATATCTAAATTTAATATTTAGTAACCTTTTTATTATTTTAAAGTTGATAAAATAATTAAATTTGCGTAATTTTTTTAAGTTATGAACTAATTAATTGTTTTTCAAGTATAGAAAAAAATACACAAACAAACATTTATTTAACCCTTCATTTTGTGAGATATATTTTATAATAAATGTATTAAAAATCTTGTTAGCCATGATTTATAATTAATTGATAATATATGTTTTTAACTTAAAAGAAAAATTGAAAAATATTTCTTTTCATTCTATTTTATTTTTAATTTAATAATCATAAATATTAATAAATTAATAAAAAATTTATAAACTAATTTGTATCTTTTATATTGATCTCTCCATTTAAATTAAAAATTATAATTGAATTATTGCATTATTATTTACATAACAATGTTCAATATAATGTCCATATTTTATTAGTTTTTTTATGAAAAATATTTATTTTACAACTCTCATAAATATAAATAAACTCATGACTATATTGTGTTTGACTCAGAAACTTTGACATTAAATAAACATCAACTTTGACAAATATTCCTTCGCCGGCTTAACTACTATGTTAGTTTTCCAATTTCCTATATTCTTTTTTCCATTTCATGTCAATTTTTTTAATATATATATATATATATTAAATATTTATTTATTTATTTTTTAAATATAATTATTATTTTTAAGAGCTAGTCATCCTATATGAACCTATAGTGTAATTTCTAATATATAAGCACATTTTAATTACGATTTAAATGATTGAGGAAAAAAATATCTAATTCAATTTAAGTTATTATTATTATTTTATCTTGTGTGACTTATTTTTCGTACTTTTTAAGTTAATCTATTGACAATTCTACATTTTTTTCATGAAGATATGTGAAAGAGAAGTATAAGAACAAAAAAAAAAACTTATACGTAAGTTAAAATTAGTTTAAAGATATTTTTATAGGAATCTTCTAAGTTTAATGATGTATTAATTATTTTTCTCTTAAAGCACACTCTTAATTAGTTGGTATGTTTATATTAAAAAATAATAAATATTTGAAATGAATGACATAAGGTTTCTCTCTCTTAATATGATTTGAGAGTTCACTAATATCAAATTCCACTCAACTACTTTAATTTTAAATATGTTTAAAAAAATAATTTAAATTATTGATCAATTTATGTTTTCAATTAATTTAACTAATTTTCTTAAAAAATATATGAATTAGTTAAAAAAATATAAATAGAGAGGAAGGGAATGCTATTTTCTAAAATTATTCTTAATGTTTTTAAATTAATCATCTTTTTCTTTTCACTTAATTACTTTTCATCTATTTGGTTATTATTTTAAGTGAGAATAATAATCATAGTTATAAATCTTCTTAAATCTTGATAAGAGAAAGGAATAAATTTGTCTTATCAATTTTTAAAATTTACTATTTTGATTAATAGTTAACTATATTTTAGAGAAATAATTAATACTACAAAAAATATAAAAAAAGGTTTATAAAAAGATAAATATTTTTCTAAAACATCTCATAAATATTGTTTATTTTATACTACATCCTTTCAGTTAAAAGTTTTTTGTTTTCAATATTTATAAAGTCACATGTTGAAAGATGAAATGATTTACAAATAGAAATTTTATTGAGATAATTTTCCTCTTAAAAATGATTTTCTTTTTATTAATTTTTCAAAAGCAAGTGATTGTTTTTAAATTTTAACTAAGTAAACAGGCTCTTAATGATTCGATAATTTCAAAATTTAATTTCTGAGTGTTCATTTTACCCACTAGAAGGACCAAAGTAATGAGGACTAAAAGTTATATGAACTTTTGACATTCTATAGAGATAATCTTGGAGTATAAAACTTTTATTTTCATCATGAAGGGTTTTAAGAAGGTTAATTCAAAGCGTTGGGAGTTTGAAAGTGAAGGTTTTCAAGGAGGGAAAAGGCAGTTGCTGAAGAATACAGAAGAAGAGGAAGAAACAATAAGTTGTGTAAGCTTCAAGGCGTAGTTGAGGAGCTGAAAAAGGAGAAGAACATGTTAGGACTGGAGATTCTAAAGCTCACGAAACAGGTTAAGGATTCACAGGTTGAACTTACCAATGCTGTGGAAAGAGTTCTTTTGCTGAGTTAAAGCAATATCAGATGATGAATTTCCTCACCAGAATGGTCCAAGTTCCTGACTTTGTGGAGCAATTACTTCACAAGGTGAAGCAAAAAGATGGGCTTGATGAACTCGCTAATATTTTTGTCATAAACTTTGGAAGCAATGTTCGATATGAGATCAGTGTAATTAAAACGATCATAAAATTCAACATAAAGACCAGTCATTGTCATGTCACAGCAAGAAAATATGTGAAAGCAATGGAGGAAGAGTGATGAGACAAAAAATAAATGGAAAATGATATGCAGACATGGTGTGCTGTGTTTCCTAACATGATTGGTAAAATATCAATCTTAATCATATCATTGTAACAAATATAAGAGTCAGATATTTTTTTCCTGGATAAAATATTAACACATCGATTAAGAATATGATCAAGAATAATTTATATATAATTTTTTTTTCTTTTTTTAATCGACGAAGGGGTTTACCGTTGTGTTAACTTCATGTTGTGGTATTCATAATCTGAAATATCCTTTTACAAGTGAGTAGATAAGAGAGACAAGAAAGGCCTTTAGTCTTCAATTTTCAAAAGGGTATACAAATTATTTTCCAAATTTTGCAGACATTTTTTGTTATTAACGAACGCGTGATGACAATGTAGCTGTACAATTTCATCCCCTTCTTCCTTAATCAATGAAAGGGCTAAAGAAAAATATACCATTGAGACTACTGAAATCACTGGAAAAGTGTGCATTATTTCACCTAGTTCTTCATGGCTAGATTGGCATTGATGTGGAAGAGGATGATGATGATGATGTTGATATGGCAGACCTATCAAACTCCTCCTTGTCCTCATTGAAGACCTTATTCAGAACTTCTTGGAGCTCCTCATACCTTCTTCTCTTCCTAAGTTGATCTTCAGGACTGTCATCACCCATACATGTAAGCAGAGTTATGTCATCAGCATCCATGATCTTATTCAACACTTCTGAGCAACGAGGGAAGAAGCGTTTCCCCAACTCCACTGTTCATGCAAAAAATAAAAAATAAAAAATCAGACCCTAATGCATTGTTTTCTTGAAACTTGGCTAGGCCTAACTAGATCCTCATATCTATAGTCCATGTGACCCAATGTTATTAGATCTGTCATAGGCTGATATGGTCTTGAATTTAGACAATCTAATTTAATTCCAAAAACTAGTTCTGAGAATTGCCTTAATCTTTATAAACTCTACTTCGGTCATAAAATGATAATTGTATGGTCTTTATAAATAAACTTTGTTTGATTATATCTATAATGAATTTAGATCTCTAGAATACATTTTTATTCTAAACATCAGTTTCTAGAACTCAAACAAGAGAAATGTATTCAATGGGAGATCTCCCACATACTAGCATTCATCTCCAATGTCAATGTCAAAAAGTGGAAAAAATTTCCACTATATTTTGCAAACATAATATGAGTGATGGCTAATCATGCAACCATAATTATCCTGCCATGATCTATTTTCAGCAAGGACAAGAAAAAAAAAAGGAATAGAAACATTTGGAGAAAGTGAAGCATGACAGACATACACAAAACTCCCTTTTATTGTTCACTATTCAATAAGAGAAAGATAAGAAACACCAATTACCAGTCCTAGACAGTGCTCTCAACCTAACAAGATGCTCCTCCTTCATTCTGAAAGGTGCATCGTTTAAGTCCACAGTTTTCCTTTGACGATCGTTGTAGATGTCAGATGATGGAAATTCAGATGTACCATCAATTTGAGCAATGTCCATTATAACCTTCGCTTCCATGGGAAACAACACTTTCGCCAGTCCAACTACAAAGAATGAATTATCAGTTATAGCCACATTTTGGTTAGAATTAAACATTGTGAAGTACCTATTTGCTAATAATTCACTTGATCCAAGACTCACCCAAATATTGACTCAATTGTGTAGGTGAAAAATAACAAACTCAGTTGTGATACATTGTTACACACTGACATTGAGATACATATTTTATGACACTGAAAGTAAAGTCATTGAAGAATATGTAATGTGAGAAAATACCTCTATTTTCAAGGTACAACAATTTCATGCGCAAATCATCCCCTGCCATAGCAAGAGAAAGTGCTGCCTCTCCATGTAAAGGTTCCCTTCTCTCAGCTTGCTCCAATATCTCAATGCACAATCTGTCATTGCATGACACCTTTCCTTCCTCAGTTGCATTGTAATAATCCACAGCTTTGGTGAGACGCTTTGAAATCTGAAGGGCATTTCTACCATCCCAAGTGACATCAGAAGGCTGTGCCCCCTTTGTTAAGAGAGAAACTATAATCTTAGGCTCTTTCCTCATTGCAGCAACATGCAGCACACTGTAGCCCCTATGGTTTTTGTGGTTGACATCAGCAAGTCCAAGATCAAGAAGCTCGGTGGTGGTCTTCACATCACAGTATGCAACAGCATAGTGAAGTGCATAAGCATCATCAAGAGTGGTGTGCCCCTCTTTCAAAAGCAATCTTACCAATTCCACATCGTCTGAATCCAAAGCCCTGTGTATTCTGTTGACATGTTTGTCCGGAAAATTGAAGTTTCCGGGCATGTACATGCCATATTCTCTTTGTTTATCCATGATTTGTTTCACCAAAGGTTGAGGAAGTGCCTTTTCAAGAGTGGTGATATCAGCATCAGATTTAACTATCGTCTCAGTGCACCTCGCTTGCAGTTTATCACACGTTTTGCCACATAAGTTTGCGACAGATAGAACCACCAAAATCTCATCTATCACCACCTTATCAAGAATGCCTAGTAGGTGGTCCTGCAAGTAAACAAAATGAATTATATATATATATATATATATATATATATATATATATATATATATATATATATATATATATATATATATATCAGCACCTCATGTCCTTGCAGGAAGGTTTACAATTATATATTCTGCTTTTTCATTAGTTAGTAAATAAGAACCACTACCATAGATTATGACATTCTATCTTATCATATCTTATGTAACAAATTTCTAATGTTAACCCAAGTGACAGGTATAATGAAATACAAAAATGAACTGATTGAGATGTAAAAGTAAGCGACTGTGAAAATTCATTAAAAAGGAATGGTCAATAAGAAAACACATGAGATGAAAGAGAAAGTTCATCATGACAATGATATATAAATTTAATTAGAATTCTCATAGCTGCTGCACAGTGTGAATGATATTGAATCAAAATTAAACTCAACACATATCTATCATTGAAACGAGCATATTTATTATATTTAGGAAGACAAATGCTGGAAAACAAAAAACATCAACCCAAAACTTTAATCATTGTTTCGAATTCAAGTTCTGGTATGTACCTGCATGAAATACTTGACAGACAACTTTGCCATTAACAGAAAAATCAATCGTTTCAAATTCAAGTCTTAGCTTGCAATGTAATATTATTAAATACTAAAAGAGAAAGAACTTTGTATCTCGTAGTAGTTTTTGGAATAGAATTATGAGTGGTTAAACATAAGAAGAATGAATGAAGGGGTTGAGTTGTACTATACGTGATAAAGAGCAACCAACTCAGAAAGTTGAAAAGTGGATGAAACATAGAGGAGCTGAAGCAAGAAATCCACAACAGGTCTACACCCAAAATGGGAACAAACATCATCCACACACTCACAAAAACCACCATGGGGCAAAGCTTTCACCCTCCCACTGTACAAATAAGCCAGAACTATTCCAAGTGCTTCCAACCCAACATCGTAGTCCTTGGCCACTTCCTTCAAGCGGAGCACCACGCCTCCGGCGAACTTGTTCTTGAAGAAGACACTCCTCGCCGCCAGAATGCACCGGTGCACGGCCACTTCCCGGCCGTCGCCGGCCACGATCATGGCGTCAGAGAAAAAGTCAACCCCGCTCTCCAGGATTGACCCCAGATGCTCCGAGAGAAGCCTCAGCGGCGTGACTTCTGAAGCAAGCGAATTGTCCTCGCCATTGCTGTTGCTGTCATCGTTCGAATCGGAGAACCCACTTCTGAAGTTCATCTTTTGATGCACGGTTCGGGTTCAAAACTGGAATAGATATAGAGATGTATATTGATATATATACACATACAAAGAGAGAAAGATTAAAGAACAAGAAACAACTATGCATAATAAGGACCATGAAGTTGAAGCTATGTGCTCAGAAGTGAGAGAAAAACTACTGCATAGGTGTTGATTTGGTTACACAAATTGAGTGAGAACAAGAACATGATGAGTTACTTTCTAACAAAAAGAGAGAAATAAATGGTGTTGTGCTCCTTAAAAGCTGGCGTGAGGCATTTATGGCTAAAACTGATCATTTGTCCCGACTCTATTGGATTTGGAATCAGTGTTTTATAATGTGAATGGTTTGAGTTGAATCAGCTGCAAGTGTCCCTTTCATAGGAAAAGATATTGATAGTAAAAAATCGAGTTTCGGGTGTAAGGTGAAAATCGAGATGATAAAGATGGAGAGCGTAAAAATTAAGGTAAATGAGATAAAAGATTGAAAGCGTAAAATTGGTATTGAGAGGATAAAAATTGAAACGAAGAAAATTGAGATTGAACTTGTGGAATCGAAAGTGATGCAAAATTGAGAATATAAGTATTTGAGAAATGAATTGAAAGATACGTAGAAAAATGAAATGGAAGAGAATAAGTGATAGACATGTGCAAATGGAAGAATAAAATAAATTAAGACTTTATAATAATTGAAAAAGTGATATAGGAAAAAAAAAAGTGCTTAAGGATATCGTCAAAGTATTATCATAGTTAAATAAGAAATGGAAATGGAGAAATTCATTAAAAAAATGGAATATATTTTTAAAGGTAAATAGAGTACTTTAAGGAACTAACAAAAATGGAATATATAATCACAATTTCGTATATTATATTGTAATATTAATGTATCAAATAATTGATCAATATAAACCAATTTGTTTACTCACTCATATATTTTTGAGTTTATAATTTTTTTTTATTGTCGGTGAACTTAGATCCACTGTATCTAACACATTTATTGTCCATATTCAAATCTCTATCTTACACATATTCTCAAGTTACCCAAATATTATCAAAGAAATACAATAAACTTTATTAAATGTTTCACATGTCAATACTCATTAATGTTCTAATTATGTCTCTTTAAACTCTAACACCTATTTATTAAAACAACCACAATGTTCAAATTTTAATAGAAATATTTATATCATAAAAGAATTCAATAAAACAGTTAATAAAAATATAAATGTTTTACAAAAACATATTATACCTATCTTGTTTGTTATAATTAATAAATAAAAATATGACCAATTAAAATACTATATTTACAATTTTAAATTAATTAAATAGAATTTTTTTAAGTTTATTTACCTAATTATACCTATTTATTGTTCATACACAAACTCTAATAAAAATAAATAAATTTATTTGACATAAATACAGTTATTTTCCTCTCTTTTTTCTTTTCTTTTCTCTCTTTATCTATTTATTGTTTTTCTTTTCTTTTTTTCTCTTTTTTTTATCTCACCCTATCTTATTCTTCAATTAAAAAATAATATATTAAAATTTGATAAAATGAGTATTTTATTATTATTAAAAAATTGAAATATTTAGATGATCCATAAATAATATAATTTAATATATTATATAAGGAAAAATATTATATGATAAATTTAAGATATTACAAATATTATTGTTATGTAATAACTATTAAGAAAAAATTAAATATTTATTTAAAGTATTTTTTAATAATTTTTTATACCTGATCTAATTAATTATCATAACTCAACCTAATTATAACTAAATTAAATTATTAAATAAAAATACATTTAAATTATCAATATTTAATATTTTTAATTAGGTGAATTATTTATTATGATAAAACAATTTTAAATTAATTATTTACACCATCATAAATAAAACTATTTGCTGTCAAAATAAATAAAATTATCATCATAATTTTAAATATTTAGACAATATTCTTTTTGTTTTAATGTTTTTTAATATTTATTTTAATATATTTTTATTAAATTTTAATAAGTAGTTTAACGAAGAGAATAAGGGGAGAAGAGAAAAACAAAAGATAATAAATTGAAAAATAAAAAAATGAACAAAGAAAGAGAAAATTAATAAAAAAAATTACGAAAAGAATGAAAAAAACAATATATAAATAATACATAGGTCTATTTAAATAAATAAATTCACATAAACTTTATTTAAATAATTTATTTTTAAAAATATTATTTTTACGATTCATTCCTTAAAAAAATAACTCAAGATTAAATAACATGATTCACATTACACTTAATCACAATTATAAAAATAAAATATATATCTTATCAACGTTAATAAATCATAAAAATTAATAAATATTCATTATTATAAATTATCGTTGATTATTTAATATTGGATCTTGATACTAATAGAGCATCGTATGTATAAATATAATGATCATTAACTAAGATCAAAATTAATATACAAAATTAAACTAATATGTACCACATTAGGTTATGATTATACTTTTTTTTAAAAAATCAACTAGTCATTGCATATTTTATTGGACAAAACTTGCAACTAAACTAACAAATTATTAGCATCAACAAAAATAATAGTAATTAATATTTTTAAAATACATTTTTATTTATAGTGGTTTGTCAACAGCACGAGACAAAAGCCTTTTGCTAACTTATTTTTCTTCGAAAATTTAAAACCAGCTTGTAAGAATGTGGAAAATTTGTTTAGAATAAAAGAGTTACTTTTTTTTTCTTAGTTTTCATATATTCATTTAGCTGAATTTTTATACATGTATTGAGCACTCCTAGTGCTAATATTGTTAATATATGTTTATTTTCTTCTGAAAAAAAGAAAAAAAAAGTGCATGAATAACAAGCAATTCAGAGGCAGTAGTAGGCATGGAAAGAAGAAACCTCTTATGTAAAAATAGGTTTAATTTGATATACTAATTAAAAATTATGAAAAATAAGTAAATATAAATTTTTGTGACCTAAATTTAATTAAATTTATTTTAATTTATCTCATTTACATTATGATTTATATTAGTTTAAATTATGTTAATCTACTAATTTTATAGAATAATAATTATTTTAAATAAAAATATAAAATATTTTATTAAAATAAAAATAAATTTTTAGTATTAATTTATTATATATCTTATTAAAATAAATTATTATATTATATCAATAAATTATTAATAAATAAATAATATGATAATAATGAAAAGTAGATTTAAATTTTTATTTTAAAATTAAGTAGATATATTTTCTTATAATTTATGTATTAAATTAAATTATTATATTTAAAATAAATAATAATAATTTATTAATATAATTTAAATTTAAAATATGTATTTATAATTTTATTTAAATATTTATAATTAATTATTTTGATATAAATATGTTAATATACATTTTTAATCTTATCAATTGTATAATATGTTGATTTAATATAAAATCATCTTAAACTAAGATTTATAGTCTATTTCAAATTAAATATTAATTTTTTTAACCCAGGAAATTATATTAAATTGGAACGAACTACCCACAAGCAAACATGATGTGACACACGCCATTAACGAAACAAAATTATTCATGTTACAAATATATGTGTAACTTAGAAAATAATACTAGGTTTTTTCAAGGTTGAATTATATAAATTATATTATTTTAATAATTTTTATCAGTACTTTTATTACGTTTAATACTTAGAATGAGATAAAATATTTTTTGTATAAATTAAAAATATCACAAAGATGTAACTATTTATAGATATTTTCATCACAACCACAATGTGTGTGCAATAACTCTTTGCATTGTTAGGGGAAAAATATTATTTGTTGTGGTGGAACACAAAAGTGCAACATGCTCCATATCGAGAAATCTTCTTATTAGGGAGACCTTATAAAGTTGGAGGTTCTTCAACTTTTTGGGCCGACTTTTGAGGGATGATTCTCCTCCTTAATTTTATTATTGTTACATTTGTGTTTTGATCGAGAGTCAGTCAACTTAAAAAGGACTATCCACGGAGGGTTCTGACCGGTAAAAAGGTTGAGTGAAGTACCAAGGAGTCTGCAGCCATCCATCGAGAACCTTTCTGAGGAATGATTCTCCTTCTTAGCTTTATGATTGTGACATTTGTACTTTTATTGTGAGTCAGCCATAAAAAGACCGAGTGAAGTATTAGAGAGATTGAGTGAAGTACCATGGAGACTGCAACCATCGAGAACCTTTTTGAGGGATGATTCTTCTTCTTAGCTTTATGATTGTGACATTTGTACTTTCATTGAGAGTCAGCCATAAAAAGACCGAGTGAAGTATCAGAAAGACTGCAACCATCAAGAATCCTGACTTTCAAATGGATGGTATTGTAATAAGCCCTACATCGGAGAGATCTCCCTACCAGTGAGGTCTTATAAAGTGAAAGGTTCTCTAATATCTTAGGTTGACTTGTGAGGGATAAACATCTCTAGACTTCAATACGCGTTCCATAATCATTCCAAAAGTCATTTCTCACTATTTGTTTAATGATTTGGATCTCTCTAACACACCTATGCTGTCATGTCACAAAATATTTTTTAAATTTGTCTCAATCTTATACAACCAACAATTTATCTCTATTTATATATATTGTAATTTCTTTATATTTTTTTCACGGAATTTTTAATATGATGAAATCCTATTCCATACAATGCAAATATTCTACTTAATCAAATGTAAATCGAAATGTTTGACATTTTAGTTTAATTTATATTCTAGTGAATAGTCACTCACCTCATCCAAATTATGATGAGAATCTTGATAATCATTCTCTAAACTCCACCTTTTCAAATCATCATCACTACTTATTGTCAAATTATGATTTACTTTTCTTTATTCAGTTCATTTCTTTTATTATATTTATTACACTTGTGACTCATTTTATTTTTATTTTCAGATGTATATATGATATTAACAGTTAAAAATCATCAATATTGAGAGCTTGTGACTTCTTTCTTAAAGGAGGAACAATTTAAGGGAAGCAAAATTCCAAAAAAGAATATTTATACATGTTTACAGTTTATCATGAACATAACACTCCCAATCAAACAGGATTCACCAGCCTTCTATGGCAGGGCAGGGAAATTGTTAGCTTTCCTAGTTCGGATGTATAGCTTGGAAAACAGCTTCGAACTCTTCTTTTACTCTTTCAAAGACATTAGGACCCTTAACTTCATTGGTAGGAGTATTCTCACTAATATCATCATTCCTTCCATGAGTTTCTTTATGATGGTGGTGTTGTGACTTGTCATGGTGTATGATGGCTTTAATCTCTTCCTTAGCTTTCACAAATATGCTTGGTGCCTTTGCTTTTGTTTCTGCCAATAAAAAATGTCTCACATCGAGTCAACAAATTACTGGCCCTGAAGTTATATATGGAATCAACAATCCATGTTGGAAGAAGCCTTTGGTTATTTATAAATGTCATGACATGATTTTGCAATCAAAGGAAATAAGTAGAATGGAATAACTTTGTTATTATTCTCTGTTTGGTTTAAAGGAGGAAAACAGAGGGGGCAGAGGAACATAGAGGGGGCAGAGGAACATAGATTAGACATTCTATTTGTTTGAGAAAAGAGAGGAAAGGGAATTTAACAGAAAAAAGATAAGAAATTTTAATGAAGGAAGAAAAATAGCAATTTTTCTTGTTTTATGGATGGAGGGAGAATAACTATTTCTTCCAAAACCTCTCAATATTGGAGAAGAAAAATTGGATGAAGAAGGGATTTTGCTCTCCTCCATTCTTAAAAGTTGAACTAAATAACAGAACTTAATATAATCATAACTCTTCTTCCCTTACCTTCACTCCCTCCAACCAAATACTAAGCAAATGATTGAGACAATAATAATAACAATAATGAGAGATTCACAGGTTTCAATATAATAACATGGATGTATCGTGTATGTAGTCATTCAAAAGGATTGGAACAATTAGCAATGTACCTGATGGAGAGCTTGGGGCTTCTTGGTTTTGTTTTGATGACACAGCCATTTGATTTTCATCTCTATATCACAAGTTAAGCAAATAGAAAGAAGAGTCTGTCAACAACAGTGTCCATTTTCTGCAGCCAATGTTCATTTCTTATTTACTTTTCTCTATAAAAAAAAAGTGTATAATGTGATGATGATAACCTTATATCAGAAGTATGAACCTTTTTCTTGTGATGGAACACCTCAGCAAGGGCCTGAAACTCCTCCCTTGCTCTCTCAAACATATTTGGAGCCCTAACATCATCCACTGAAGTCTTCTCATCCATACCACAACTCAGTCCATGAGTTTCTCTCTGATGATGTTCTGAACGCTTTGCTCTTTCAGGCAAATTGGGTGCTCCCTCCTCATTAACTGATACCACAAAGAACCATAATCATCTAACCAAAATTTGGTCCAACAAACTTACGTTACTGCAAAACATTTCTCATTTTCCATTTTTTCGGTCATACAATGTAAAAGAAAAGACTAAAATTCATAATTTCTTGCTAGCATTAGCATTTTATACCAGATAAACTAAAAGACAATAATAATGCAAAATCCAATCTAGATAGACCAAAGACAAAGAGATCTATCTAAATAATGCAATAAGGTTTACATTTTGCAAAATTAAATTAAATAAACATAATGGGCAAATGTGAAAGCAATTGCAATGAGAAATCAAAGTTTCTGTGAACCCAAACAAGTATCACTGTTTGATTGAAGAAATGAGATGGATTAATAGAAAAAGGGACTCGTATTCGTACCTGAGAGTGAGTTTGGGTTTTCGTGGGTAGACTCAATCTGTGTCATGATGGGTTTAAAGTTGTTGCGTTTAAGGTTAACGGGAAAACATATGTTGGCTTGTTTGGAATGTGATGACGCGGTTTTATTGAAACGAAGTAGTTTTAAGAGACAACACCGTTAACAGTTGTTGGGAATGCGAAAACGCATGACCAAAACGAACGACATCTAAAAGAAACGATGTGTCGTACTGAGATGCCAACCTGTCATCCACTTAGAAAGATTGCATTGACCATAATAAATTAAAAAAAAAAAAAAAATATATATATATATATATATATATATATATATATATATATATCAAATTACACATAAATAATATCTAGAAAAATAACTATAAATATTTTAATAATTATTGTACGATAGATGAAAGAAAATATATAATAATAATAATAATTACAGTATAATATAAAAGGCAAAGACCCTCTATATAAAAGGTAAAGTTTGAAACTTTACTATGGACACCCCAAATCTCTTATACAACACCCTCCCTGATACTTCCAAATGGGTCGACTCATTTAACCCATCAACTAGGGTTGGATCATACTAAATTTGTAGTTTATTTTCAGTGATTAATCCATTTGAAAAAAAAAATTGTTCTAATCAAGAAAAATAAGATATAAAAATAAATTATAAAAGATAGAAATTTTAGAGAAAAACCAAATAAAATAAATTTTTGAGATTGAAAAAGAAATTAGTTTTTCTATTTATAAAAAAAATATTAAGCATATATTTATACTTTTATATTAAAATTTCGCTATTAAAAAAAATAATTAATTTGGTTACATAAATAAAATAGTTCCCTAGGTGTTCCTCTAAACAATTTTATTTAAATTTACCTTATTTAATGAGATTATCTTTAAAATTATTTTAATTTAATTGTAATTTGTTTTTTAACGACTCTTTTTTATTCTCAGTATTACATTCTAAAAAATATAATTTAAGAAAAAAAATTAAAAATAGAGTAATTAAATATTCTTAACAAAAGTTCTATATTAGTGTTAACTAATTTTATTTCATATTCACAGAAAAATAAAAACTTAAAATAATTTAAATTATCCATTTTAAATCCACAGATGTACTGGTTCCATTTGTTGCCACAAAAATAGAAACTTCGCCCTCTTGAAAATACAAAGGACACTGCATAAATAACCTTTAGTTAACAAAATTTATAAAAAAGTGAAAAATAATTAAAATAATCGAACTCTTTATATAAGTTTATTGAACTCATATCATTTAAAAATTGAGATTAATAATAATTTATATACTTTAATTATTTAAAAAATTTAAATAAAATAAAAATAAAATACTGTGTTTTCTATAAAATAAAATGAAAAAACTATATTCTTTTGTTTTGATTTAACTAATAGTAGTTTAAAAATTTAACTTCCATTTGTCACATCTAATTTTGTAAAGCGATGAAAAGGGCAGGAAAGTTGACCAAAAGTTCAGATCATCAAACACATATTATCTTGTGAACGCAGTTTTTTTTTATTATTTAGTTTGATTTGCAGAAAGAAAAACGATGAACTTCATGACAAGTACGACTTGTCACAAAAGGCTACGTGGATATGACTCATCGTAATGTAATGTAATAAATCAATATTCCTTTAAATGCAAGTATGAGTTTGTCATTAATTTTTTTTTCCTCAAGTGAACTCAAGTATATTTAGTTTGATTAAATATATTTTTGTGTTTATATTTTCTAAAATAAAACTATTTTTTATTTTAAAATTACATAAAATAAATTTTAAATTTAAAAAGTTAGTATTTAACCAATTTTATAATATTAAAAAATATTATTAAACATTAGATTTACATATACAAATAATTGAAATTATAATTAGTCCTTTTATTGATTCTGTCACGAAAACAATGATAATTAAACATTAAATTTAAATATAAAAAGGATTAAAAATTCATATTTTATTAAAAGCACTTTTTTCTTATTTAAATTATAAATTATTTGCTTTTAATAGTTTAATCAATTTCAAATTAGCACAAACCTATATTTAACGTAGTTTTGTTACATGTGGTTAAATTATATATATAATTAACTTTTATTTTTTTTATCATTTCATAGAAAATTTGTTAATTTTTTAAAAATAGTGTAGAGTGCGGGTACTAGAGAAAAAAAAATCTTCACTTAGAAAAACACACTTAATTTACAAATTTTATAAAGATAAAATTATAAACTCTCATATAATTTTTCCAAAAATTGCAAACCTTCATTTATAATAATAATTTACCACTGTCCTTCTTTAAATGATTCGACGTGGGCCTTTAGAAGATTTTCATACACTTTAGACATATAGTTAATATTATCTTATTGATATTATCAAATACTTGTTTTTTAGTGAAATTATATATTTAGTTGTGTGAAAATTTAGTATTTATATATTCGAAATATCGTAAAACAGAAGTCTTTATTAAAAAATATGATATATTACATTATTTATACAGTTTAAATTTTTCATCCTGGTTAAGAATGAACGTAGAAACATTTTTACGTTATACACGGGTGACATGTTTATCAAACTATTCTATAAATTTTATGATTATGACATATTTGTTTGCACTTACATTATTACTTATATTAAATGAAACAGGTTTAATTAATAGGGAAGGATAAGATAATAATAATAATAATAATAATAATAATAATAATAATAATAATAATAATAATAATAATAATAATAATAGTAGTAGTAGTAGTACATGGCTGCTTTTGAAGAAAAGCAATAAATGAAAATAGTTTTATAATGCAATTGGGCAATTATGTTGAAATAAGAAAACAAAGATGGTGTATGGATTTGTGAGAGCAATAAAGAAGGAGACAGAAAAGTCAAAAGAGTTGTTGATGTGTTTGATTATAGGTATGATGTAATGTCCACAGACTCACAATGTTGTTCTCTGTATCTAACATTTCTGAACGTATGCGATGGTCTAAGCAGAATACCAAACCATCATTCAAAACATGGGTGAGTGCGAAGAGAGACACACTATTGAATTGAAAAGTCAAGATTTTTGACCTTATTGACCAACTTGTAACCCAAGTTTTGAGACAAGTTATTAGGTGTAGGATTTATTTATTTATTTATAGGAAACAGGAAAAATATAATGTCCCTGGGACAAGGGGAGTTAAAAAGTAGTCCACCGTGGTGCAGTGGTGGTCAAACCCAAACTAATTTAAAGGATTGAAAGTGGTTCTAAATTAACCCTTTTCAATCTATCCCACACCTCATTAATGGAAATGAGTTGGCTTTGTATGATTTTGACATGAATTGCATACCCACTTTCTCTATTCTTACTCCACAAGTGCCCTACACTCCTTTTCTATTTTTACACTCTAAAATCAACAATATTTTAAATAGTTTCTAATTTATAAATTTATAAAAATTTAAAATTAATTCATAATATTACTTTGTCGATAAGGTAATTAATAGTTGAGAAAAATTTATATTATGAAAGTTATCGAATAGTTAAGAATTAAATACAAAATATAAAAAAAATGAGATTTCGATTAGGAACTGTAAGATAAAAAACACACATTAAATAGTGATATTCTTGGACTATTCATTGATATATATATATATATATATATATATATATATATATATATATATATATATATATATTTTTTTTGTATCCATTAGTTGACTTTAGGATTAAAGGGTCAGATACTCCCTCACATAAATCAGGATCTAAATTCTTTAAGTAATAGAAAGTGTTGAGTTTTTTTTTAATATATCATTGTGTAAATAATATATTATTTAATTCCGATTTAATATAATTATAAAATATTTTAGTTTTTTTAGTATATATATATATATATATATTATAAATAAATTATATATTTTTTATTTCATATCAGATAATAAATACGTTTCAGTTTATATATTTTTTTAAATGTGGTTTATCTTATACAAACAATTTAATAAAATAGATTCCATATTTATTGTTACATGTTTAATAACAAATATTACGATGATTAATATTATCTTTTTCGGTATTTTTTCACTAAAAAGTAAACATGAAATAATAAATTTAATCTTTTACTAAAATTTTGAATAATTATGATGATTATGCTTCGTCTCTTTTACGAGAAAAAGTGATAATTTTTTTTAAATTATAATATAGGCAAAATAGAACTTCAGATATTTGATGATCTCAATTCCAATCATGACTTCATTAGATATTTTATAAGTAGAATATTTTTTTTAATGTAACATAGAAACGGTCTCAAATCAGAATTGGTTTTGGATGAAAAAAAGAGTGTCGAATTATTTAAGGTTTAAACCATAGAAGTGCCTCATTCATCATGACTTTGGTTTCTAGTTTTGAATTTTTCTTCTGTTCCGTACAAGGACATATCAATCAAACTTAAAACTTTACGAATGTACGATGAAAAGAAAACAAATGGTCGTGGTTTGGGATGTAAACCAACTCCATAACACTTCGTGTGGTTTGGTCCTTTAAAGAAGGACCCACTACCATAGATCTATATCAATTATGCTAAATAAGTCTGGGTTAGTGGCATTATAAATATTAAAAGCATGGATAATATTAATCATATTTGATTAATATTATATATGTAACCTAAATACATAATAACATAATAATAAATAATAATATTATATTAAGATGTGTAGGTAAAATGGAAGTTATAGAGTAGATGTTTTAAAAACTGGGTGTCAAAATAAATTTGTTTATTTGTTTTTTTTAGGTTACATTCACTATTCTATTTCAAAACATGTAACGCTGTATTAAAAAATACTTTTAAATATGTGTGATTTATAAAATTTAATATTACATTGATTACCTTTTTTACGAAATATATATTTTTAATTATATTTATTAAAAAATATAACAGAGTAGTACAATAATAAAGATATTAATAAAAAATATTAATAAATTGATTAAAAATAATAAAAATGAATAGCTATTTTAAAATGTATAATTCAACCTTTAAACATAATATATTTTAAAATAAAAAATAATATTTAATAATTTATTCAGTTAACTGTCTTAATCTAATATTTATTATGAAAATATCTTTATAATCAATTTTTATGTTTATTTTAAAATTTTCCTCCGAAATAATTGTGTTTAGAAAATATAATGGTAATATAAAAAAGAAAATTTTATATAAATTATTATTTCGATATTGTCATTTAAAAATATATAATCAAATTTGTGTAATAAAATGATTTTTTGAGAAAATATATTGTGTACAAATGATATTTAAGTAGGAACCCGTAATTCTGAGTGAAATTTCGAAGAAATTATATAATGGTGTGTTTGGTTGACGGGTGAGTGTTCAAATACAATTATTTAATTGATAATGTTTGATAAAAAAATAAGTAAATATCATTAATAGTTTTTAAGCTATTTTTATTGTTTGTTTTTGTTTTTCATTTTTATTTTTTCTATTATTATTAAGCATAGTTAGTTTTGATTTTTTTTCTCTTATCTACCAATAAATTCATAAACGTGTTTATTTGTAAAGATTATATTGAATATGAAATTGAGATTGAAATGTATGATACATGAATCACCTATGTTTTAATATAAAAATAAAATGAAACTAATGACCTAGAAATGTCGATGAAAACATAAAAACCGAGTATAATCCCCATTTCATTGATTAAATAAAAAATGAAATGGGTGTTTTATGCAAAATTAATAAATGTCCACGAGGGGCAGAATGGCAAAAGAGAGATGTTGAAGTGGAAAAAGTCATGCATAAGAACAACAGTAGAAGCGACAGAGGTTTAGTTGGCCGTGTGCATGAACGAAAGACTCTTTTGGTAAGCCAGCCACACAATTTTCGAAACGCGCTCTTGACTAATCACTTATTATGCTTCCTTCATCAAAACAATTATAATAGGGAAAAATAAAAATAAAAATACCAAATTAAACACATTTTTACCATGTAACTCATAAAATCTCTTCGACACGCATACAACAACCAATGAAGATACTTGCATTCTTTTGGAATGCCCAAATTTTAATTACGGAAGGGATTGATAGATTCAACACCATCAAACCCTAGTCAAACATTAAAAACAAATAATCTATTTTTTTATCTTGTTAAATTTGGACCTTAAGATATATAACAAAATTAGTTAGAAACATTTAATTGCATTAATTTTATTATATATATATATATATATATATAATTTTTTTTCTTATTGTAGCAAAAGTTTATTGAATAATCAATATATATTTCATATTGGTATAGGTTGTAAGATAGTGTTCATATCTAAGTTTTCTATTAGGTTTTAGTAAAAAGAAAAAATTTCATTTTTATAACCTATAATTAAAATATATCATTATTTTTTATTTTATTTAAAAAAACGGTGAAAACCTTTTTTATGTTTAAAATTTCTAAAAAGATGAAAAAGAAAATAAAGTGAAAGTTTCAAATTTTTTTACAAAAATAAGCAATGAACCATTCAATTAGAATAAGTGTCAAGATATATAATAGAATGTGAGTTGTTATAAATTCTTCAGTATGTATTTAAGACTCTATTTTTAATCATTAGTTAGGATAAGTTATTGGAGCCTAAAATCTAAACCAAAAGAGAAAAAAATTATCTTTTATTTATTAATGATCAAAAGGATATAAACTCTTAAGTTTCTTAGGTTAAAATCATCCAGGTTTTCCAATGGAACCTCACAGAAGCTAACTTTATTTGACCAGCAGCCTAACCCTATTTCTTCATTTTTCTGTTTCAATTTTCTCTGTTTGTTCTATCCTTTTATGGCCCCAAGAACAAGAATTAAAAAACAAAAGCACATGTCCTCTATAAGGGTCTATCCACCTTTAAAAAACCAAAATGAGGTCTACTTCAAACCGTAACCTTTGAATCACTCAAACCAACTCGTGGGTTGGACTTTGGAAAAATAAAAATATAATTCACACTTAAACTTTTGAACCTTATTATGACCACCCACCATTTATCTTCCCATTCGAAGTTGGTTAGCAGATTCGTTGTGGAATTCAAAGACCACCCCTTTTTCTTTCTTTTTCTATTTTTGACACGTATTTGAAAGTCTATTACCTGTGTGGAATTTGGTGTTCTCAGAGCTTATATATAAGCCAAGAAAGCCACTGAGATATTTCATCTTTCTGCATTTGTATTGTGTGCTTTGATCTTGGAACAAGACTTCAATTCATATACACCCCAAAGACCTATATATCTTCATACTCAAAGGTAAATCATTCATGTTGGATTTTATCTGCTGCTTTTCATGAAGTTGTTTCTTAAATAAATATGTCTTTGGTGCATCAAAACCAAACTTGTTTTATCACGGGGTTGCATGGTTAAACAAAAAAGGACTAGGACATGATGGATTATGCATCAATAGAGAAATATGCATCATCTATTTCATTTTCTTTATCTGAAGATTGCAACAAAACAGAAAGAAAGACAGAAAAATTTCAGGTGGTTGTGACTGGTTATCTTTTTTCAAAACTCGGTTGTAACAAGAACAATTTTGAAATGAAATTAACTCTACAAAATGGGAAATTCTATAAATTTTCTAGGGTGGATGTGTGGTCTATTTATAACTCATCTAACACAAACAAGTGTATTGTATTGGCAGGACTCAAAAAGTGATAGTTTTCCTCAAACAAATTGAAGTATAGGGGGGATCTACATCTCTATGGGATTATCACTTTCCTTACTCTCATCAGCCTGGGAAGAAATCGTTAGACATTCTCTGTTTGGTCTGTCTTTGAATTTCACCTTCGGTTCCAAAGATGGGGCTGTGATTTTGAGATCAGGTAGCTTCAAGAAAAGAGAATCAGACACCACTTCTGTCTTGTCAAAGGGTACCTCTACCACCAATGGCTCAAGCAAGTTGAAGGATTGCAGACCCGAACACATGATTCTTGAAAGAAACCTTTCATGCATTCAAGAAATGGAGATCATGGGTTCTGACAGAAGTGAACAGTTGCAGCAGAAACCAGTGCCTGTTCTTTCTCTGCCTAAAGAAGTGGTTTTCTCTTCCCCTAGGCCAGCTTTTCAGCTTGATGCTGCCGCAACTACAGTTCAAAAAGTCTACAAGAGTTACCGTACTAGAAGAAACCTTGCAGATTGTGCTGTTGTTGTGGAAGAGCTCTGGTAAGTCTCAAACAAATTCTGTAAGATTGGGATCCTCTCATGTTAGCAAGTTACATTTACATAACACGAATGAAATCAAAATCTTGATGTAATTTCTTAGGTGTTTAGAATTTTATCTCCATAACATTAAGTTTCATGAAGTTATTGGAGTAAAATTATAATTCTGATTGATCATGACGAGATCTAAAATCATATTTTTATGTGGGTTTTTAGTTTAGATTATCATTATGTTAGGTATGTTACTAATTGGTTATGGTATTTAATTGATGTAGGTGGAAGGCATTAGACTTTGCAGCTCTAAAAAGAAGTTCTGTTTCATTCTTTAATGTGGAGAAACAAGAAACAGCAGTGTCACGGTGGTCAAGAGCAAGGACAAGAGCAGCTAAGGTATATTCCATTGAAATTCAACTTTCTCTGAATTTAAGTAAATCCATTTATCTTCTTATTCTTATAATTTTATTTGGGATATTTACAGGTTGGAAAAGGTTTGTCCAAGGATGATAAGGCTCAAAAGTTGGCCCTGCAACATTGGCTCGAAGCAGTAAGTAACCCACTAGTCCATTAAGAACTCTTATTTAGCCTTGAAGTTATGTCATATTTTGGTTTATGGTCTCATCTAATATTAGCAATGTCCATTTTTGTTTTCTGAACAGATTGACCCACGTCATCGTTATGGACACAATTTGCACATGTATTACGATATTTGGTTTGAAAGCCAAAGCACCCAACCATTTTTCTACTGGTAAACTCTCATTCTAAGATATCCAATCATCTATATCTTCCAACTACGATTATCTTGGAGCTGGCAAAAACTATAGAAGCCAAGGATCTGGATGGTTAACTTTGTTCTTTATGATTTGCAGGTTGGATGTTGGAGATGGTAAAGAAATTAATCTTGAGAAATGTCCAAGGGCCATACTACAACGACAGTGCATTAAATATCTTGGACCAGTAAGTTATCGCAGATCAACCTTACATTAGTAATAAAAACTTTTTCTGTTAATTTGTAAAGTACATGTATCAGTATAAACCAATGTCATGTATAATCTAATGTTTCTCTTTGTTGTTACCATTGCAGAAAGAAAGGGAAGAATATGAAGTAATTGTTAAAAACGGGAAGCTAGTGTACAGCCAAGATGGAAGGCTTGTGGACACTGATGGAAAGTCCAAATGGATATTTGTTCTTAGCACCACAAGGTCCTTGTATGTAGGGCGCAAGCAGAAAGGTTCATTTCAACACTCTAGCTTTTTAGCTGGTGCTGCTACAACAGCTGCAGGCAGATTAGTGGCTCAACAGGGTGTGCTTGAGGTAAACATATTTACATTCACCAAATCTAAAGTTCATAAGATAGTACTTTAGTTCAATCATGGATAAACAGTCTTACTTTTTAACTTTACACATCACTCTAGAGAAACTTAACTGTCATGTACTCAAATTATTGGTGCAAAAGAAATGTCACTTACACAAAGTGTTGATAAACAATGCAGGCTATTTGGCCGTACAGTGGTCACTATCACCCCACAGAAGAGAACTTCAAGGAATTTATAAGCTTTCTTGATGAGCACAATGTGGACCTTTCCAATGTCAAGGTAAACTTTTTTTAACCAAGTGAAGTTATATTGAGAGTGAGAGTTTGGTGTGAAATAAATAGGCTGATATGGTTATTCACATTTTCTCCTGTTGTCATTGCAGAGATGTGCTATAGATGATGATGCTCCTTCAATTGTTGGGTCCATTTCATTTAGTGACATTAACGAGTCACAACAAATTAAGGGTCCCCCTCTCCCATCCCAATCAGGATCGGCAGGTTCCACTAATGTCAACAACAATGGCATCAACATCAATGCAACAGTTCATAAAGAGATTGAAAAGAAGGTTGAGGTCCCAGTTTTTGACGTGTCCAAGAGGTTAACATGCAAGTGGTCTACTGGGGCAGGACCTAGGATAGGGTGTGTGCGTGACTACCCTGAACACCTTCAATCAAGGGCCTTGGAGCAAGTTAACCTGTCCCCTAGGCCTGCTTCTGCACGCCCATATAGCTACGGCCCAATTCCATCCCCAAGGCCCAGCCCAAAAGTTAGAATGTCACCAAGGCTGGCTTACATGGGCCTACCTAGCCCAAGACCTGCAATTCCTGCTGCAAGTTAAGACAACAAAGTGCATTCAAGTTCAAACTATTTTGAATAGTTTTGATTTTCTTGAAACATCTAACTAAATTCACAATTATGGATGGTCTGAGACCATGTATATAGATCACATAGAGACAAAAATGTGTCAGCTATGATGACAGTTGAGATGACATCAGAGAGACCTAACTTTATCTCACTAGCTAGCTTCTATTTTGGTCTTTGAATTTGTTTATTTCTTCATTATTAGGTTCACTGAGTCAGATTGTATTAACTCGATTCATTTGTCTCTACTTTTCCTTAGTTTTGAAAAGGCCATTCACTTAATTCTTCATTGTAAGTATAAATATTCAGCTAAATAAAATAACATCCTTTGTTCTTTAACATTTTGCTTTTTACTTATACAATAAACCTGTTTGTATATTGTTTTTACTTATGCAATTCAACTTGGACTAATTTGCATTCAAAATAACTTTCCAATACCAAACAAAGTTTGGGCAAAAAATGCATACCATTGACTTCAAACAATGCATTAATTAAAAAATTTATTTTCCTGTTTTCAAGGAACCATTTGTTGCACTCCTTGATGAGGTACCACTCTTATTCTCTTATTGAGGTGTGTTGAATTGATAAATGGTTTTGTACACTTCACTTTTAGACAATGTTTAAATTCTACAAATTTAATAAGTTTTGATGATAACAACACTTAAATAAGTAATCCACCAAAACATTATTTAGTTTCAAGTAATTGATATAATTTATTTATACAAATTATAAAAAATGTTTAACTAAAAGTTATGTCTAAAAATTAAATTGCATTAAAATTTCTGATATTGTTATATGATTATATGTATCATTTATTAATATATTTATTTTTATTTATAGTATATGCGTTAAAGCAGAGCTAGTGTATTGATTAATGAAACTAAACTTTTGTTTAATTATGTTTATTTCTAATCTAAACATACATTTACCAAAGAATAATATTATGAAAGAGAAAAAGAAAGTTTAATATGTGAAAATTTACTTTGTAAAGCTAAAAGAGGAATTGATAAAAAAAAGCTTTTTTATTGTTGAATAACTTAATAAAATATACTTAAAGTTTGTACCAATTAAAAACATTGTTAATCATTAAAATAAACTTTAATATGTAAGTATAGTATTTTAATCTATTAAAATTACTAAAGTAACCATTTAAGTGATTTTAATCCAATAGAAACTCATTTTAATTGATTCAAATATATTATACTTGAATCAACTTAAGTAAAATAAATAGAATACATGTTTAAATATGTAATTTTTTTTATTTGTGGAATACTTCTAAGGTTGAAAGAGAATTGAAAATATTTTAAGATTCAAAGAACCAATACATAATAAATTGTTCCTTGTTCACATCCTTTTTCAATATTTTGAAGAATCTTTAGACACAAATCCTAATCTCTTTGCAAACATATAATCATTTGAATTTTTTTTATAATCAATTTAAGTTTTGAGACACTATTCAACTCTCCTTTTAGTATGTTATTTATAATTTATTGTTTTGGAATAAATTCAGTTGACTTTTATTATAAACTACTTTATAGGCAAATACTGAACCTATTTAAGTTTCTTATGTTATAGAAGTTACTCATTCAAACTTTACTTTCAGACTAATTTTTTATTTTTTATTTTTGTTTGGAGAAATTTTATCTTGACTTTCTAGAAGACACAAGTGATGATTTTTTTTTTTAAGAATTGTTGTAATCTCTCTTCACTTGTTCTTTAATAGTAATAAATAAATTAGTTTTCTCATTCAATAATCATAATATGTGTGACCAATTTATTTTACTCAGATTATGTTATAACTTTCCTCAAGAACCTGGCTAATGACAATGGTTGGTTTATTTTGACTAAACTAATCAGATTATTTCATTAATTTAAATGCTTTTTAAAACATAAGTACCGTTCTTAATCTTAATCCATTAATTTACATGATCATTGACTTTGAACTTAAAATAATTAGAGTTAAAAATTGTGCATGTTTAATTTCTAATTCTCTATATATCTATTCTTAATTTTTTTTTTCATATAATTGAATAAAAGTATATTTTAGAGAAAGAAAATCATGTTATACAAAATATTTTTATTCAATAAAATATTTTATTGTTAATAATATATAATAGTTCAAAAATATATTTTAAGATATTATTAAGATAAATGGGATAAAACAGTCCAAGACACAACCTAAATCCATCTTTAAAAAATTCACTAAACTTATTTTAGAATTCAAAATTGTTAATATATATATATATATATATATATATATATATATATATATATATATATATATATATATATATATATGTGTGTGTGTGTGTGAGTGAAAAAAATCTTCTCTCTCACTTTTTTTTCTCCTTTCTTATTTCTTACTTGTACAAGCAAAGGTTTGGAGTTGATGTTTGATTGGATATCAATTTGTGAAGACAATTCAGCATGGAATCATCAAATCACTCAATCATCCACCATACTCCACAAAAGAAAATGGCCACATAAATAATGTGTCATTGCTCTTGGTCTTTTGATATTTTTTTTATCTATAAATAATTTGGTACACCATGAATACTCTTAACTAATTTTGGGTAGTCACACCAATTTTGTAGGGGCCATATCTCTTTCAGTTTTCAGCTTTTTCCCCATACTGCACTGATATGGTAATCTTTGGCATCAGAGTGCAGTGTGTAGACTACACTGCAGTAGCATAGCTGCAGAAGAGGGGCCACAGCCCAAAATCTCATTTCAGGGCACACAAAGATAACTTGGTTATTGCACAAACTGCACTGCATCAATCTTTCTCCCTATCACCCTCTGCAACCATCACTGTCAAAGTATTTATACACTGAAATATCTCTCATCAGTTATACCATCTTCTGTTGCTGTTGCTGGGGTGAGTTCTGCATTATTGATACTTGTGTTGCTTTTTTTTTTTTCTCCCAAGGTGGCTTCTGCTTATGGAAATTGGAGACAAAGTACACCTTTGTTTTACTTCTCCTAACTCCTTTTGCCTTATGAGTATGATATATACCATCATGTGCATGTCACAAACTGTGCAATTCATTTGTAACATAATTATGTTGTAAAGTTATACCATATATTATTTTGTTTTTGATAAATCTGAAGGGCAAAAAATTCATAAAGCACAAGGTCTATTGGACACCATCCAGCAAGATAATGAGTGTAAAACAGTTTGTAATACACATTGAGATTGTGGGAGAAGTATAATGTCAGGTTGATTTCTGTGGAACTGTTATTTAGAAGAGATGGTATTAATCTCATAGATTATTCAAAAACTTAAAATTTATGAAAATATTGAGGTTTTGTCAGAAAGTGGAATAAAAAAGCTTGTTTATGATCATTATAAAAGAATTACAAAAGGATGATGGTACTGAATCATTCAGCATTATATGCTGCCATCTTTTCAAGTTTGTTTATAACAGGTTGGAATCCTAAGTCAATGACCAATCTCAATCTTTGGAACGAGGTTTGATGAGAGTGAAGAAATTCCCACACAAGATACAGTATGATTCCCCAACTTGAAGAACAACATAACTTTGTAAGTTAAAGAAGCATATAGTTAAAATGCGCATTAAGCAATCTAGATTACTACATGTTTGATTTTCAATTACATAAAATGAAAAAGATTTTATCAAAAAAAGTTAGCTTTATTGTACACTACGAAGAAAATGTACTTTTTAACTCTTAGTTCAGAGATATCTTTGATAAACAAAATACAATGTTCTTAAATATGACAAGTCCAGTCAAAATAAACTCTTCTCTGGTTGCTGTCAACATATTACCTCACTTGAGTTCAAAGTTTCTTATGAAAATTCAACCCCTCATTAATGGCAAATTAAACTTAAAATGGTGTCTGTGCAAACAATTTGAGTAAGTAAGCAAAGGCTACAGATTGAGGTAAGTAATAAAGACTGCTTCATTCATATCCACTTTAATCAATATCATGAATATATCAACCTTGCTCTTCCCCAACCCACCTTTGACCATCATTCATTAGTGATTCAATTCAATGAAGGTTGATTCACTCTGCATGTTTCCTGTTCCCCATCTACCAACCTGCATGAAATTGACTTAACCATGAAATGTTGGATTCCATTCTGCCTCTACTGCTCTAATTTTCCATTTAATTAATCATGGTCCAGTCACACTTGCCTACATGCTACCCTTTGTTCCAGTTTGAGGCACTTGCAATTATTATACTTGTCCACTACATATTTCGTTCATATGTCTCTTATGGTGAAAAGTACACCAAATTTTTAATCAATAATAATAATAATAATACTGATAACATATTAATAAATTCTTTTCAACCGAGGAATTTGAGTCGGTATGGGGAAGTCAATTCAGACTGTTAAAATAAAAAATTATGAAAGAAGTGGCTCTGCAGTCTAGGCAGTCTAAGACCTTCTGCATATCTTTGAAGTTTCACACTCTATAGGGACATTGAAGCTCTCAGTAATCAATTAACAACGAATCCGAATCAGGTGCACCTGCAACAGTTACTATTTAATGGATAGAAATATATATATATATATATATATATATATATATATATATATATATATATTTGGACATTTTGTTATAAACATAATGTAAGATTCTCTATATAATAAAACATTTTATTGTAATGTTTTTTAAGATGTGGTAGATCATCATAGTTTTGCATACATGAAAATATTTTTGGCATTCCCCTGAGTATATATAGATTCCCTGAAGATAAGTAGAAATAAAAACTGATAAATTGTGTGAAGAAGGATAAAAACATTTTTTTTTATTGTAATCAAACCATTTTTATTTCTTATACCTTACTAGATTGATATATGTCTGTTCATGGGATAAGTCAAATGTTAGAAATGCCAACCTGTACATGCCATTTTTCTAAGAACTGAGAAATTCCCTTCTCTTCGATAAAGGATTTTCCCACATATCTTTGGTGGGGTCTCTAGCATATCTCTCTCTGTGTTTCCTTTTTGTGCTTTTTGTGACACGTTGCACCAATCTCAGTTTACAACAGTGGTATTTGGTCTCTTCAATTGGGTGTCATTTGCCAATCCAAAACTCTGCTAGTAGTGCCTTTGCATAAACCTATCTACTCTCAGACACCCTTTGGCATAAATCTTTTTAGGATGTCCACAACTGTGAAGACAAGAAGAATCTGCTACATTCTAATGGCTTCAATTCTACTCTCTCATTTGGTCTGCATAAAAAGCAAGCCTTTGTTTCTGTTTGATGCTTCAACTCAACAAGGTCAGTAGTTTCATCAACATACATGTTACCACAGAATAACTTTTTTTCCCCCTTTCACATCACATAATCAACACAAACACTTGATTGCTTCACTTCACTCCAAGTCCATGTAGCAGAAATCCCATTTCCCACTCTCTCTAATGAAATATTGTCCTTTCCACTTTTGGTGATTATCAACAGCACTCTTCAAACAGTCTTCCACAGTAGCTGACGAACAAACAAGAATTCAAGATGTCTCAAAACATGCTTCTGACCCTACACAGGTAACACCAAATCATTTCCTTTTGTCTTTCTCTTTGAACTATATCGTATCTATATTTTTTTCATTTACAGGAGAGATGTCAAATAAGCTTTCATGTGTCCAAAAGTAACTTTCGATGAGTTTAGATGTTTGTGTTATGTGTGTGTTTTACATGGTTATGTTTCTGCAGGGGAATGAAAGAAAAAGAATGTTGAAATCAAAGGCCAAAGGGTACAAAGAAGCACTGAGGGGACTAAACAGGCTAGGGTCAACACCACCAAGGTGTGAGCACAAATGTGGAGGCTGCATTCCCTGTGATCCTATTCAAATTCCTACCAACAATGATCTTCTGGGTGCTCAGTATGCGAATTACGAGCCTGAAGGATGGAAGTGCAAATGTGGCAACACTTACTTCAACCCATGATGCCTAACCAGAACAACTTCTTGTTATATATGTTTGTGCATAAAGTAGTCATGGTGTTCATAGCTTTCAAATTTGAATGTTTGGATGCAACTGATTAAGATTTGTGTTAATCTTAGATGCTTGGTTGTTAATTAAAATTAACTAAGTTAGATTATTTGTTTATTTTACCACAAGCTGTTTTTGGTTGCTATTATTAAATTATGTCTGGTCGTATATGAGAGTTATTTGATACTTGTGTTTTGATAATGCATGCAACATATCTTTGTTTGATACAAACACAATTTATTTTATTATTGGGTAGAATTAATCATCTGATATTTTATTTGATTACTTGTAAATGATTAATTTATGTACAATTAAATGAAAAATAATCATAAGTAGTAGTTGATGACATGTTATATATTTAACATGTCAGTCATACATATGAAGTACAAAAAAAATTACTAACACCAGTTTCTGTAGAACCAATTTTTCTAAACTATTTTTAAAGTACTAAAAAGATAATTACAAAATTTTAATGGACTAATTTTTGTATATACTTATTTCAAAAGACTAAAAAACAATTATACGAAATCAATGACTATAATATATATATATTAGATTTTAAAAATCGTTTTTGTAATTCCCGAGTATTGTAAATTATTTAAGAGTTATAAAAACACGAGTAACCTCAAGAAATTTATATTTACCTTAAGTTAACCAACACTTATGAATACATCATGTTTGACAATAATTTTTTTTAATAAGCATTAATAATTCTAAATTTTTACATTAAAATGAAACTAAATAATTTGTATTAACTTACACTAGTTAATTTATATTACTCGTATATAAGTAAAACTTTAATTATAATATTAATCACTTACATATATAACAATACATATTTTTCTAAAAGTATATAAAATTAAAACTAATATAAACATATACTTTTAACTCATTATATATATATATATATATATATATATATATATATATATATATGTGGACACGCAGATAGGACATATGTGTTTTAAATAATAATAATAATAATAATAATAGATAATTAAAATGAAAGAAACATTTATAATGATAGAAAAAAATTGATTTATAAGAAAAAAAAAACTAAAGTAAACGGTATCAGAAAAAAAATGACATATTTACCAATGAAAAATAATTAATTCGTAAGAATAATATATAAACTTAAATAAAAATTTAACATTTAAATAATTACAAATTCTTTTTACCTATTTTTACTTTTTACTTTTTTTTCAGTATTTTTCAATAACTATTAGATTGCATGTATTTATTTTATGGAAGTTTAAACTCAATGAAATAAAATACGTGAATTTATTTATTTAATTTTGTAAATTATTTATTATTTATAATTATTTATGAATATTTCACTAGTTTATTTTTTAGATATAAATAAAAAATATATTCTATAGTTTCATTAATATTTTATTCATATTTTAATAAAATTTTATATAATTTGATTAGTGAAAAAAATGATAAATATGATTGAATAATTTATAAATTATATATATATATATATATATATTAAAAATAAAAACTAATAAATAAACTTATTATAAGAAGTGAATCGTTTAATTTATCGAAAAATTATAATCATCAATAAAATTGATAGAAAATCAAAATCAATAATAAAATTATAAGAAATCATGTTAATTTTTGTATGTTAACAAAATATGACATCTACAAATATTTCAAGTGAAAAATTAAATACTTATAACAATCATATATTCTAATAAATACTATCATCATCACAATTTAAGTTATACTTTATCATGAAAAATTGTATAAAATAAAACCAATATTCACAAATAATACTAACATCATCTATACTGAGAATCATTTATAGGTGTAAAGTTTAACTTTTCTAATATTTATAGTTACTGTAACTAAATTATCGTAAACTCTAATCCAACTAATAGTCAGTTTCTCTGTAAGGTATCATGAATTTCCTTTAACAAATGATATGATGTTAAAAAAACAATGTTTAAAATTTGAAAAAAAGAAGTATTTAAGGTATATTTAATAATATATTGTCAAATCACTGAATTTATTTATTTTTATTTTAATGATGGATTTAGTGATAAAATATGTAAAAAAAAAGCTAAATTAAATATTATTTTATTTGAATTTTTTCTATATAAATACTATTTAAAATATTTTAGTCAAATGTTAAATAGAATGATGCTTTATAAATTAAATGAATTGATAATAATTTTAATAAAATATTACATATTTTCAAGAATATTCTGTTCATATACTAAAATAATTCATTTGAGTATACGTTGTTTAAATTAGGTGTTAAATTAGTCATTTAACTAGTTATTAGTTTGGTAATTGAAATTTGAGTAAAAATGGTAATTAAATGGTTGATTTTGTAGTTGAATGGATGATTGATTCCAATGTTTTAAAATAAGTGGAAATATTATTCAGGATTTTAAAATTAAATTAAATCGAATCAAATATAATAAAATAATATTTTTATGATAATAATATTTTTTTTATAAAATAATAATAATAAAGATTACATTGTTATTATAATAAATATAAAATATATTAAAAAATATAAGGTGAATAATTATGAAAAATATGATAAAAATATAATTAAATAATTATTATTTAAAATTAACTTAACTAATGTCAAATAATAATAATAATAAAATTATATTAAATCTGTTATAAAAAAATATTTTTTTTATAAAATAGGCTGGATCTAAAAATTTAGTAGCTTTTTTTTTAATTTTATCTTAAATTTTCTGACTTTATCTCATTTTAATTAAAATTTAATTATGTGGAAGTAATAGGCTGAATTTTAAATAGCTTCTCGATTAACTCATCTGACCATGGTTATATCATTTTTTATCATATAAATTGGGTCATTAGTTATGATTATAAATTTAATTATTAGTTAGAATTATAAGTTATATCACTTAATTAGTGACTTAAATTGATAAGTGAAATTGATGGTTATTAAATCAATAATTAAATTAGTTGGTAAGATTAATTTTAATTTTAGCTTGTGAAATTGTTTGTTGAGAACCATCTTGGATCCATGGTTTCAAGAATTGAAGGTGCAAATTTAGATTTAAAGAAAAAAAATTGTATTTATATTAAGAGATTTACAGTGATTTAAAGAGAAATTTACTAACATCCACGTATTTATCTTTCCTCTTACACAAGAAGGAAGGCATAGAAATTTATATATTATCCATATTATTTTTAAACTTATTATCTCATTGAATCAATTCAATTAATAATATATTTTAAAAGAAAAAATATTTAAATATAATATTTATAAGTGTATTTATTTAACTAAATATTTTTAATATTTATATATTTACACAAAATTTAATATGAGAAAATAAATTTATCTAACGTAATATAATTATTTTTTCTTTTTCTGTATTCTTTATTTAATTTTTATCATTCTTTAATGTTTTTTTTCCTCCTCTCACCTATTAGTAATATTTAATTGAAATTTAATAAAATGAGTCTTTTATTATTTTTAAAAAATAAAAAATTTTAAATTATTTATAAATATTATAATTTAGTATATTATATTTAAAAAAATATTATATAATAATTTGGAGTATCAAAATTATTATTATTATATTATAATTATTAAAAAATATAAAATATTTATTTTAAAATATTTTGTAATAAATATATATTTTTTAAACTAATTATCCAATCTACTTATAACTAGATTAAATTATTAAATAAAAAACATATTTAATTCATATTTTTTTAATAAGATGAGTGATTAATTTATTATAATAAAAAAATTTTAAATTAATTATTTACTTCATCGTAGATAAAATAATTCATCAACATTATAATTTAAAATAATTAGTTGATATTTTTTTAGTTTTAATATTAATTTTAAAATTTGCTTTAACATATTTTTAATAAATTTTAATAAAAAAACGTGAACAAATTTTGTGAAAATAAGTGAAAGAAAAAACAAAAAATGAATGAAGAAAGAGAAAAAAATAAAATAATTTATAAAAACATAGAATAAATTTTATATATAAATACTAAACAAGTTTATTTTATTTTGATAAATAAATTGATAGATAATTTATTTGAATAAATTTTTTAAAATATATTATTTATAGTGTAATTTAAAAAAAATAGTATAAATAAATAAAGAAAAATAATTATATTGTATAAGATGAATTTATTTCTTAATATTAAATTTTATATATGTAGATAATAAACTTATATATATATTTTTTAAATAATTTTTTAAAATATATTATATTAACCAGTTTGATTCTCATTATATTGATTGCTTAATCAGTTAGTTAAATTATTAAATCAGTTAATAAAATAGTTAAATAAATTATTATCCATCAATAAATTGATCACTTAATCATAGTATTATTTTTCTCCTCTTCACTTTCCATTTTTAAGCAAATACATAAGCAATAAATAGTTTTATCTTTTCACAAGATCTTGATAACTATTGTTCTTATGTTCTCTCATCTTAATAATAAAAATAATTACTCTACTCCATAAATGATAATACTATTTTATAAAAGATGACAACAAAAATAATTATGTAAAAAAAATCCTCTTTATATAATTGGTATATATTAGGAAATAAAATATGAAAAAAATTTGTATATACCAAAATTATTAAAAATAAATATCCTTTATTAATAATTCTATGATAATAAAAATTAATTAATATAATTAAAAATTCATTTATTAAGCTATTAAAAATGAAATCGTGAAAAATTATAAAACAATAATTATTAGGAAAACAATTATAAAATACTGTTAAGGATAAAACAAATATATATATATATATATATATATATATATATTAAAAACTAATCTTTTTCTTAATTTATCATTAAATTTACAGACAAATAGTAAAAGATTAATATAATTAAATTTTTAGTTATTAAATAGTTATTTAAACTGTATAGGATAAATTAGAAAGAAATATGTTAAAGAGAAATGGTTACAAAAATTCATAGTAAGATTACTAGGCAAATTACAACGGTATTATGAAAGTTATTATTATTTTTGCTGATATTCATATTTTTTTAAAATATTTTTTTAATCTCTATTGGAAGAATAATATTAAGAAAATAAAAATAAAAATTTAAAACATTCATACATCACACTCTTATAAGTAAAATAAAAAAAATACAGCTATATAATAATTATAACACAAATAAAAAAAAAACTATTTTTTTATTCGATCTTTACAAAATTTTGTTATTGTTATTTTTTTCTACCACATTAATTTCTTATCTTAACCAATCAAATTTAATAAAAAAATACAAGATATTTGTGAAATTAAGAGAAGTTAAATATTATATTAAAAGCAAAAACTAACTTTCTTAATTGTGTTTTATAGAATAAAAAGTATCTCTAATATAGTTATAATAATAAAAAAGTTTATTTTTAGGCATATTAAATATAATATTAAGAAATATTTTTGTGCTTTAATATCTAAATTAACGGTCAATTGGTTTTCCAATCATGCAATAATTACCATAGTATTTTGTATCTTCAATTTAATTAAGTGTCATGATATTTTGACAATCGTAAAAGAAAATAACTCAAAAAATAACTCATTTTATTAATATAATAATTATGAAAGAGATTAAATAAAAATGAAAATAAATTAAAATTATTATTATAATATTAAAAGTGAATTATTGGTTAAAGTTATATAAAATTGGGTTATCAAATAATATTTTTCTTTAATTAATTAAAAGAAAATAACTAAAATTAAAATATAAGATAAATAAATAATATTGGAAATGGTGGATGAAAGAGGCACGTGAGATGGGGCCCAGTGAGGAGTGAGAACTCGGCGAAAGGTTCGCGGTGTGTCCGCTCCTATATATTTGCTTTGCTCCTTCAACACACCAAAATAACCGACGGTTACAAGAATGTTCCTGCTTCCACTCCATCAAATCCAAACCATAATGCAGGAGAGAGAAACACAATTCCTCCCTTTTCAAACTCCATTTTCTCTCTAACCATCATTTATCATTTTCTTCTCTACCTGCATCTTCCAACCAATTTTATTTTTTCTTTTTATTTTCCGTTCCACCTGCATTCCCCTTTCTTATTTTCCGTTTTTTATCCCATCGATGAACGCAGCTTCTTTCTTCCTCCAACTTTTCACATTAAATGCTTTCCTCTTTCGGAATTCGGCGTTGGGATTAATTTAGGGTTTCAGCCAAAGAAAATTCTCTCCCTTTTTGTAAAATAATTGTTTCTAGAATGGAGCCTCGCGTTGGAAATAAGTTTCGGCTTGGTCGTAAGATCGGTAGCGGATCGTTTGGAGAGATCTATTTAGGTTGCTTTAATTTCCTCTCCGTTGTTATAATTACTATTCTTTTGATTTTTTACTTTAATTCTATGTGTTGTTGTTGATGATGACGACAATATGATATGATGATATCGATGATGTTGAAAGTGGTGGTGGTTATGATTATGATGAGCTTTATTATTATTATTATGATTGTTGTGCAGGTACTAACATTCAAAATAATGAAGAGGTTGCAGTTAAGCTTGTAAGTGCTTTTAACCAATTGGGTTTTGGATTATATAGGAATTAGGATTTGAGTGATTTTGTATTTAAAATCTGAATGAGAGGACAATTTGACAGTTTTGTAGCCATGAGTTAAATGAAACTGGTTCGGAAAGGGGGTTTCGTTTAATCAGTTTCTGCAAGGGGTTGTGAAAATTTGGGTTCAGATTGGATTTTGTCGTGGCGTTCTTAATGTCATTGATCGGTTTGTGTGCACTTCTATTCTGGGTGTCTGTGACTGTCTTCATTCTCTGAGGTTATTGTTCTTTACTTTTTTATGGAGGGGACAGGGTGGGCGCCCAAAGGGTTCTCATGTGAGACATTTTCCACTGTTAAGTCACCAGTCTTAATGTTTTGTGAACGAGAATTTTGTTCTTATGTAGTAGATTCGAAATGATAAAATTAATCTTTCTGCTCTTTGTTCAAAAGCAGAATTAATAAATTATATGTTTGTCATGGTTGTTATAACATTTCAGAACTGGTTGGAATCTGAGTTGTATTTAGCTGTAAAAATGAGGTGGACTAGTATCATCCTTATTGGCATAGGGACGAAGATGCACTGTTCTGAACATGTTGATGACTATCAAAAGCTAGTGAAGTTATCCTTTCGAAAGTTTTGGATTTTTTTTAATTTATTGAGTGGCTAAGATTGTAGATTATTATTATTATCGTGGTTAAAGTTTCCCTTTATTAGCCTTTAAAATGGTTATGCATGCGATGTAACCACTTATGATAGCAAAATGCACATTAATTGATCTTTGTAGCATACTTTTTGCAACGGTCAATGAAAGAGTTCAACTAAATAGACTGATAGTCCCAATATTTTCGGGTAGGCAGGTGGATTAGCCTGCTTGAAATTATGCTTATGTACTTCTATTAACTGCTAGGAAATTTTGTATCTAATGGACATTAAGAAATCATTTTCTTTTGGCAGTTTTAAATTCTAAAGAGATTTCTAAATGGTCCCTCTTGCTTAATGTTGTAGATTATAATCATAATTGTGTATAAATTAAGCTTTTACTGTTTTTTTTTTTTTTTACTTTAATTGTTATTTTTGTAGCATATGCTTAGTCTAGAAAAGTGTATATTCTGTGAAACAATTCAATGTTTAGGAACAAATTACAATTCTTAGTCTGTGAAGGAGAATCCTTCAGAATAAAAAAATGTTTCAATGGAGAACTGAAAATTCTTGCAATCTGCTAGATTTATTGTAGAAGTAGAATATATGTATGTATATATATATATATATATGTGTGTGTGTGTGTGTGTGTGTGTGTTTATTACTGTTATGCTCTCTCTATGATTTTGCTGGTCATTTTTGGACTGTTTTTCTTAGGTAAATGCTAGATTTTGGATATCTCGGAGTGCTCCAGACCTTATTGTCTTTTCTCTTACCCCCGTCACATGTTCCTATTCTTTACCTTTATCTTTTTAATTAGGAAAATGTCAAGACAAAGCATCCTCAATTGCTATATGAGTCCAAGTTGTACAGAGTTCTCCAAGGAGGAAGTATGTTTCTTCTCAAATTAAATGTTTTGTCTCTTATTAGTAATTTTATATTTGCCTCTTTGGATTGATCTATTTATAACTTATATATGATTCTAACATAAATTTGGCATTGGCAGCTGGAATTCCAGATGTTAAATGGTTTGGAGTGGAGGGAGATTACAATGTTCTAGTGATGGATCTGCTTGGACCTAGTCTTGAAGATCTATTTAACTTCTGCAGTAGAAAGCTCTCACTAAAGACAGTTCTCATGCTCGCTGATCAAATGGTAGGTCTTCCCCTATGAGATGACTATTAATTAATGACTAAATTTGTCCCCTACATCTGGTTTGTGCAACTGTTTATGACTAACTATTTGGTTAACTAGTAAACTATTAGTAACTCTTGTATCTTTTGGTCAGATCAATCGCGTGGAGTTTGTTCATTGTAAATCTTTTCTACACCGGGATATCAAACCAGATAATTTCCTCATGGGCTTGGGAAGGAGGGCAAACCAGGTGGCTGATCATTTACTTGTGATATTTTTATTTATTGATGTTCATATGTTAGGTATTTCATCAATTTGGTTCTATATGTAGGTTTACTGTATTGATTTTGGTTTGGCAAAGAAATATAGGGATAGTTCAACCCATCAACACATTCCATACAGGTACAAGGATTTGGTTACTAGTCTATGTTATTCCTGTTGTTACACCTTGTTGCCTAGTGGAATTGATGACTTAATTTTTACATTGTAATTTTTCATGTTTAGAGTGGTTGTTGTTGTAACTTCTCATGTTTTCATATTATTGTTCATCATACTTACAAATATGCATTATCAAACATTTTGTTGGCAGAAAAAGTTGAAAATCCAATAATTTTCTAATTGATTAATATATTTAGATATTCACCCATCGTATATCTTTACATGGTATGATCATGCTTTGAAATGCCAGTCTATTTACATATCATAGTGTTTATGGATTTTGTGCCCTCTATCAGCTGAAAAACTTGGAATTGGAGAATAGCAGTGGCAATTTGATGGAAAATTGAAAGAAGCTCAGAGCTTCTCAAGTTTAAACTAGTTTCTTAAATCTATATGAATTTGTATTGTTTTCAATTTAAATAATTCCTTGTTTTGAATTTGATTTTAAATTTGATTAGTATCAATAAGAAAAATCAAATATTGTTTTTGGTTAGTTTTTTGTGATTCATGTGGTGTTTAAAGTAGAATACAAAGAGAGAGGACAGGGAATGAATAAAATTTTATTTTGTAATAAAAACTGATTAGTTTTAAAATTAGCTTAAATATTTCTTTTTTTGGTGAAGTTTTGACTTAAAGAACTAATACAAGAAGAATACCCCCTCGTAAAACTTGTATGACTACCAAGACATTTTAATCATGTGAAGAAGGGATAGATAAGTAGTGGGAGATATGGTTATGTGGATAAATTATAGAATTCAACTTCACTTGTTGATGAACAAACACGATACAAGTATCAACTATGATATTTACATGTGAGAAAATGAGAAGGGAAGATTTCTGAATGTGCTTGAATATTGTTTGCACCTAGCTGATGGATTTATTTGTAATGAGATCAGTCATAGAAATAATAAGTAGAACTACTATTTTCAGGTGAACAATTAAACCATAGTAACTTCCTAAGCTACATTGAACTAAGGTAAACTACATGGAAGTGTGATAAACATTAAACGCTCCTATTTTCAACATTCCCCTCAAGCTGGAGAATAAGTGTTTTCCATTCCTAGTTTGCATATTATTCTTTCAAAAAAATTTATTGCACAATCCTTTAGTGAGAATATTTGTGAGTTATCCTTGTGAAGGTGCATATATAGTACAAATCAAACCACTGTCCAACTTTTCTTTGATAACATGCCTATCCACCTCACGTCAACGAGTTTTATTTGATCATGTGACCTAGATTATGAACTATGCTGATTGTTGACTTGTTATAACGATAGAGCTGAGTATGTCTGTCCATCCCGTTTAATCTTCAAGGTGTTTGTAAGATCATTTTCAGCCAAAGCAATTCACAAATACCTTGTGTCATTGTTTTCAGGGCTAGATTAAGCTACAAAATTCTACCTTTTTAATTCTCCTAGTTATTAAGTTTCCTATAAGAAAAGTTTAATATCAAGTAGTGGTCTCCTATCATATGTTGACCCTTCATTGTCCAGCATCAATGTAGGCTTCAGAAAACGTTACCAAAACACACATAGATATTAAACTAATGCTGAAGCTCTTAATAATAAAATAGTATACGATAGTCCTGAAAATAGAAATTTATATCTTATCCTTTACTGAAATTATGATTATTCCTTTCGAAATGGTATCTGCCTAGCTTCCAACACTGAATTGTATGATTGATGGTATTTTACCGCATCATTTATAATTTGTAGATGAATTTTTATTTTGCTCCAATGCCATTGATTAATTTCTATTCAGAAGTGTTTTAAATTTAATATTGTAGAATGCTCTCTTGCATTTCTGTAATGTGTGATTTCTACGATAAGGTTGAGATTCTTGTTAGTATATGATGTCACATTCATTTCAGATTGATTTTATATTTATGTAGCCTGCTCCGTTCTTGTGGGTGTTGTTTTAATATAATTTAATTTATTAGTGTGACATATATTCTATTTGATCATTAACTGCAGAGAAAATAAGAATTTAACTGGCACTGCTAGATATGCAAGTATAAATACCCACCTTGGGATTGGTATGTATGATTCTTACCTGGCATTTGATTATTGTGTGCCAAATTTATGTTGTCTAACATATACATGTTGCTTTGTACTACTTTTATGATCTATACACAGAGCAAAGTCGAAGGGATGATTTGGAGTCTCTTGGTTTTGTCTTGATGTATTTCTTGAGGGGAAGGTGATTATTTGTGTCTACCTTGTATTGCTTTCTTCAAGTAACAAGTTGAATGCCTTTGACCTGATATTCATTTTATATGTAGTCTCCCTTGGCAAGGACTTAAAGCGGGAACCAAGAAACAGAAGTACGAGAGAATCAGTGAAAAAAAAGTTTCTACCTCTATTGAGGTTGATACTGTTATTATCGGCCTCCTTGAATATTTTGCACTATTTCTTGAATTATACTGATAACTTATTATTCCAGGCATTGTGTCGAGGTTATCCATCAGAATTTGCATCATACTTCCATTACTGCCGCTCATTAAGATTTGATGATAGGCCAGATTATGCTTACCTCAAGAGGATATTTCGTGACCTATTTATTCGGGAAGGTGTGAACATATAATCTCATATAGAGTGCATCTTTTGTCTCTGTGATTGTTTATTATATGATATTTATATTTTGATTTCAATCTGTGAAAGACCATGTATATATGCTCATTACATTACCGTATGGGCAGGATTCCAGTTTGATTATGTGTTTGATTGGACAATCTTGAAGTATCAGCAATCACAGCTAGCCGCTCCTCCTGCACGCACTGTTGTAAGTGTCTTTGCCCCTTTGGGACCTTTCACCTCAGCACTGGGATAGAATTCTGAGATGGCAAAATGTTTGCATTTTAGGGTCCTACTGCTGGAACCAGTTCTGCAATGCCCCCAGCTATGACTAATGCCGGTAGACAGACAGGTAAATTCATTGTTATGTTTCCTTGTGAAGTTTGCCAATGTAATACGTTGAGTTTATACTTCCTTTAGTACATTAAATTCTATCCTGTGCTATGTCTAGCCTGTCGTTCCTAGTGTGATCTGACCTTTTCTCATTTTTAAATTTAAACTTAGTTTATTTAATTCATTCTGCAAAAATAATTACCTTTTGTTGCCTCACATTGGTCGTTCCCCCCGTTCTAATGCTGTCTTTATTTTTTCAGCAACTTGTTAATATAGGTTCTCTAATAGCTTTTTTGTCTTGTTCCTAAAAGCTTAGCTTTTGAGCTTTCTGTTCTTGCCCCTTTATTACAGGAGAGGAAGAAGGACGACATCCTGTTCCGGTTTCAGGGGATTCCACACGGAGAAGAATGTCGGGGACCATCCCAAACTCTGTAAATATTTCAAAGCAGAAAAATCCAGTCACCATGGATAAGGAAGCCATGGTAAGTTGTTACAGTGCATGGTTTCCTTTGGGTTCTTTCTGAAAAACAGATCTTAACTCATTGATTATGAATGTAACGCGTGGTGGTGTCAAATCATGCAGTTATCAAGGCCCAATGTCATGGGTCAGTCAAGTGGATCAAGGCGAGCTGCAGTTTCTAGTAGCCGCGATGCATTTGCTGGTAGTGAATTGGATCATCGTAGTCGTACTGCTGAGGCTAACCCTGGAACAGTGCGCAAAATATCATCTGGGAGAAATGCTTCTCATGTCAAAAACTATGAAAGTGCAGTCAAGGGCATTGAAGGTTTGCATTTGGAAAATGATGAGAGGGCACATTATTAATTACTCACCTTTTCATGTTGTAAATATATATGAGTTGACGGGCAACTGCAATGCAATAGTTGCATACGTTACTAAGGTGAGCTGTGAAGGGATATGTGGATATGAACTCAGGAATCTGGGCCTCTGTTGTTTAACCCTTGTGCTCATACTTGATCAAGTGGGGAAGCTGAAAGACTTGAGCTAAATCAGGGATTTTTGTTGCGCTAAAGCTCAGGTTTGCATTGGCACTTGTCTTCTGGCGGGAACCCTTAATTTTGTAATATTTTCTTGTGAGTTATTATTGTTTTACCAGATGCTTAAAGTGTCATGTGGACCACATTGTTCGAAACTATCAAATACCAGCAAAAATATACTCATGTTTTGGATAAGACTGAAGTTTCTAAGACGTGTCTGGATATTACTGCAGTATTAGGAATATTCTAGGTTCTTGAAATGTTTCAAGTTTGATATTACTAATCAGCTGAACGTTTATCTAGTTTTTTCCGAAATTGTTATCTCTGAATAACATATACATAATTTTTATTTCAAATATTTTGGAAGGATTTGTTTAAATTGGATTGCTTGTGTCTGGAATTCATGCTCCTCCTATTACTCATGGTTGCTTGCTTGAACATGGACTAGCCCATTCGCGTTTCCTATCGACACAGGTTAATTATTCTCCTCCGGTTGTGTCTGTATTAAAACTGATTGTACAAGATTGTTTTGAATCTAGCAATTACTAACACGATTCTTAATTCTATTCAATAATTTATTAACGATCTATTTATATTTATTCATCTTTATTATTTATTAAAAGTTTAAAATAATTAATTTTAATCTTTAAATTATGAGAAAATGAATATGTTCATATCTCTTCTCATTTACTTGTGTAATGATTATTTTAAAAAAATATATTTTATCCAATGTTATATAAATATAATTTTAATTTTGAATTATAATTTAAATTATTTGCTTAATAAATGGTGATTTCATCTCTAAAAATAATCATAATATGATTACTAAATATGTTTATATTTTTAAAATTATTGATTATAATATATTAAATCATATAATATAAAAACTAATAATGATTACTATTTTTTTCATCCATAAATAATTAAAAAAATATATAAAAATAATTTTGTTCACAACAGATTTGTTACTAATTTTTTACATATAAAAATATAAATAAATATATAAAATAAAAATGATATGTAGATGCTTTTTTATCTTATAAAAATTATTTTGTTAAAATAAATAAGTAATTATTCATAAAAGAAATATAAAATCGTTTGATTATTTATGAAAGGATAAAAAATAACATTGAGACTTTTAATACATATTAATATTTTGTAACAAATTTAATATCTAGGATGCATTTATTATTATTTAGCGGTTTCAACCTCAAAGTCATTAGAATTAATAATTATGTTTAAGTTATTACATATTTTGAAATTTTGATACTTTTATTATAAATTTGTCTGCTGTACGTAAATTATCTTAAGAACTTTTTAACATTAATAGAAAGCTAAGAAAATAAGTAAGCTATGAACTTTTTAACATTAAACCAAGAAAGGGCGATGACTAAAGTATATTAAACCAAATAATGTATGATTATTTCTTTCTCCACAACTATTATTTGATATAGAAAGAGCTATGACTTGTGGTATACTAGACCAAGTAATCCACTAGAAAGTGATTAATAGTAAAATGATACAACAAAAATAAATATTAATTATTTGAAGTATGTACTCCTATTGAAAGATTAGATACAATTTACATAATATTATTTATATACTGACTCAAAATTATTGAAAAATATATAAAATATATGTTAAGCCTGTTTCTACATGATACTTTGAAAATAGAAGTGTAGGTTGAATAGACTATAAAATATCCGTAAATATAAATAAATAAATATGTACGTAGTGAAGAACATAATACATTGATTCTTATTTTATATTTTATGCAACAAGAATTTCATATATGAATACACTTTAATATTAAAGTTGTCAAAATTTAGATGATATTATTATTGTTCTCTTTAATAATTTAATCTTTACGAGTAATAATTTACAAGATAATTACGAAATTTAGAAGACTGTGATTTAAATATTGTCCTATTCTCTTGGTATTGATATTTTGAAGAAATTCAAAAATGAAGATTTTAAAACTAATTTTTACTCTAGTTCAAAAAAAGTTGGAGACGATAAAAGAAAGTGATGACAAAAGAATAGATTCAACCTATTACAAATGTTTGATGGGAAGCTTAAAAAATGTTACATTTACAAAGTGTAAATCATTTGAAATTTTTATGTAAACACGAATATGAAACTCTATAACGTTTGGATATACATTTAATCTAAAAAAGCAACTAATCGTTGCACTTTCAACAACGAAATATATCACATAATCATCTATCTTACACTAATAATATGGTTGAAAAGAATTTTAGAAGTTATGTGTATCAAAATCAGAATATCGTACCAAAATATTGTAACAAGACAATTGTTTTGAGTAAAAACGTTGTAATCCGTCTAAATATGTCAATATAGATTTCGCAATAAGATTTCACAAGATACAAAAGCCAAATAAGGAACTAATATTGGTTACTGTAATATTGAAACACAAATGGTGGATAATTTTGCATTGAAGATTGAATTATTTTACAAGTTAAAGAAAATTATTGAAGTAGGGAGACAATGATAAAAATTAAATAAAGTTAATATAAAAAAAGATATATTTTTGACCCCCTAGCATGCCTCTTATTTTTCTGACTTCGGCTGCACCACCCACGGCCATTTCTTCGTAATTTTATTGATAAGCTTTGCCTATAAAAAGACTATGGGCTGCAACATGTAATTTCTATTCTCCTACCATCTTTCCAAAAGATCCGGGCATGTATGTGGTGAGGTCTTTGATGTAATTGTTTAATTTTCATGATATCAAAGAAGTCTATCAACTTGAGATGTGAAAAAAGGGCAAAAATAGTTCTCTTCAGTCTTAAAAAACTGTTTTTAGTAGATTTGTAAAAGTTTAAAATAATATTAAATAAATTGGTACGGGTGCACAGCTACAAAATTTGTTTCTGCCAAATGTCATCGACAATGAAGCATTAAATTCCAGTCCAAGTTAGACAAGTGAAGGGAATGTTAGTATTTTCCTCATTTATGAAATGAACAAGGTATTAGTGCAATAGCATCTTTCATACTGAATGATATACGTCATATTTATTGGTTGAATTCCAGAAACAAGATACAGTTCAAACAACTTTGGCATTTACAGCTATCCCTAAACTAACTATCACAAGTGAGTATTACTTTGGCGGTTTGGTCAGTTTGCTTTCAAAATTGTTTGCATATTAGAAGATAAATGTGCAAATAAGCAAACAGATGAAGACGATGAATCAACCTCCAAAGACTCAGCAAATCCGATGGAATTGCTTTACCAACTGTCAAAGCAGACGTCCCTGTACAAAAACAAAGAGGTAACTACCATTAACACTGATTTTACTTTGAAAATGCAAAAGCTCATTCAGACGAACATTGTAATGCTACCTTAATCAACTTCTCCTTTTCTATTCATCAAGTCATGGTAGTATAATAGTACGCTCGTAGGTTGACCAAGAATACAAAATATGAACCAAAAGATCATATTTCCAACCTGTCATGCATAAAATAAGAATGAAAAACAAATAAATCCACTGGAAGATTATAATTTACGAGATAACTTATTAATAGACCAAATTTCTTAATAATAGGACACTTATATACATACCATTGAGTTTCTGTACTTGTTTTGCAGGTAATTAGTGATCAAGACCAAAGGAACCTAGATAGAGAGGGAAAAGACATTTGCCATTATCATATATCAAGTGAACCAAAATACAGATGTCCTAAATATATACTTGGTTAAGATAATAAAAATTTCGTCCAATCAAAACAAAAATGACTACACCAATTTGCCTAGAGAACGTTATCTTGAGCTTGGCCATAGAACAGGAGTTGAACTCTCACTGCACCCTTTTCATTTCTTAGGTTTTGTGCAAAATTTATACCTGAATAATAGACAAAAAAACAGGAGAATATACCTGAAACATAATTCCTATAAATGCCCACAACTTGAACATGTGGCAAGGAACGGCAATGCATAACTGCACTCAAATGAGAAATTATGAGCAAAATTGCTAAAGGAAGAAAAAAAATAAAAGGCGTTACCATAAATGACTCAACTCAACTAAAGAAAACAATGCCAGTAATGATTATATGAGTACGCTAGTAGAAACTAGAATATACAACCGTCGGCCGGGTGTCTGAACAACGTACAATAAGGACATCTCAACTAAAGCGACTTACACCAATTGCTACACCAGATATTTTACTCCATTCCAAATTTGCTGATTTTACAGTAAGTTGACATAGACAAGTTCACAATTTCAAGAAAATTAAAATAAATTGAATTTAAATTTTTTATTTTTCAACAGACTGATATCAATTTAAAATAAATCCAATTACAGTTTAACAAAAAATCGTCATAAAATGTTGCTGATGATGTTCACGGACCCAACAACAAATTCAGCAAAGCTACCAATATCTAGATAAAAATTGAACCAAGAATGTCCTCACTAATTAATGGGCCGAGAATGTGAAAATAAGAGGTAAATTTGACAATATGATATGAAGAATTTTAAATTCTTATTTTCCAGTATTCAAATTACTTTTATAAATATCTAGAATCTAACTTTTTTTTTTTTAATTCCTAACCAAACACACTTTTTTTTCATAAAAGCATCTTAAATTCCCCAAAAGTGTAACTAAATTATATCCATGAAAACACATTATCAAGATTTTCTAAATATATTAGAAAAAACAATTACTTCAATATAAAAGATACATAGACTAATTTTTACTAAAATATCTTATTATTTTTTTCTTAATTTCTATAAATGTATTGATCTCTTTACTCTCTTAATGTATATAAATGCATTATCAAGTATTACAATACCATAATATCTATGTGAAGATTTCAAATTGAAATATAAGTATTAATATTTTAATAAACACGTTTTTTTTAATGTTATATTAATCAACAGGAAATACAGGAAGTACAATAGTTCACTTCAATAATTCGATATCATCTTTCTTAATTTCAAAACCTCCATAATTTTTTTTTTCTCAAACCAGAAAAGGGCGTTTTCTAAACTTACTTTTATGGGTTGGTTCAATTTTTTTTTCAAAAGAAAAAGAGAGGCGCAAAATCTCTCTTCATCCCATTTTTTTAACTATAGTAACTATAGATAAATTACATTTAAAATTTTTCCGTCTTCTTTGTCTACCAAAACACAAAAAATAACCCTCACAACTTGAAAATGACTATATATTTCCTCTTGACAAAAATATGTTCTTATTCTTAATTCTTCTCAAATTGGAATGAAATTCATTAAAAGTTGAATTGTTGAGACATCATTGTTTGGATGATTAGAATAATTATTTATGCAAAATCAAGATGGTGGGGATTCTCCATTCATTTTCGCGAATCATATTACATAATATTATGCATGCATATATTATATGCTTCAATTTATACATAGAATATTATGCATGCATATATGCGTATATATTTAATCATGCAAAGTTCAGTCCTATTATTGTTCAAGACTGCAATGAGCTTTCCCCCACTCCTGCCTCCCAACCCAGGAACATGAACAACAAAATACATACATTTTTCATGATGTTTACCTTGTATAAGTTACTTGTATAGTATTATTCTATTCAAGCTCAGATTTTTTATCCTATTGTTCCTACTTTCAATTCTAGTGAACTACTGTGTCGAGGGTGCCACCTAAACCTAATTGTGGGTGTTCTATCTACACCTATTTCTACTGAAGTGTCTTAAAGTGGTCCTTAAATTATGGTAATTAAGCAATTGTTAGATATGGTTAGAAATGCTGAACTACGGTAAAAAAAATAAATTAATTGCGAATTCTCCCAATAATGGAGGAAAAAGTTGATCGAGAAATCCTAAATTATTGCATAATTATGGTAATTGGCAATTATTTTCATTATAATTGTTACCCACAGTATGTAATAAAACACATCATGTATATATGGACACACAATTCATGTTTGAAAGATTTGGAGATATAAAGTTCAAGTATTCATCCCTACAAATTTATTTAATTGGATACACGTAATGAAGCGTCTGTGCTTCATAGATGCAACTTTCTCCAAAACTATGATTAGCGAATATAGTTATGGTGTACGGAAACCTGGGTATGTTTTGCAAGTCTAAAATTAATCCTCATAATCATGTTCTCCACTTTTTTTATGATGTTTGATTTGACCCGTAAAACTGGGTTTGCAACTCAACCGAAGGGTTGAATACAACTAAAACATGGATGCTTACGTAATGAATGATGTAATATCTTCTTAGTATACCATTACTTTTCTGTACACTTATTTAATCCTAAATTTTTTATTTCAAACCAATTTTTAATTAAAATTTATTTTGCAAAATTATGATTTAATATGATTTAAATTCAACTTTATTATCGTTTACTCAGTCATACATTATAACCTCAAACTACCAAAAGGGTGACACAACAATTGGGGATAGGAGAGATGAACCACTCACCTCGTGAAAAACGGCAGAAACAAGGAAGGCAATTAATGAAGCACCACCCTGTATAAGACAAAAATCACAATCACATACACAGATAGAACTTCGAAAGCAAGATGAAGGTAAAGACCCAAAAGGACAAGATTATAGAATATGATAAAAATAAAGTTCCTCTGCTATTCTTATTTAATCTTTGTCAATATGCAAATGCATGCAACTAAATATGCCAAAGTAAGAATCAGAAGTGACAAAAAATGCTGATTATTGTATATCAGTTGAAAATGTTTCACCAACAACAAAGTTCATGTTTGGATTAAATTTGCGAGAGCTCAAAGTAGTTTTACTTCAAAAGCAAAATCTCTTTGCTTCTCAATTCATGAATTGGAAAGCACAAAAATAATTCCGTAACTTTAGACCAAACATTTACTAGGTCTGCAATATGGACTGGACAATTCAACATAAGTAGATTAAGGGAACAAGCACAATAGATGAATGAGGTCTGACTATCAGAAAATCTTAGCAAACATAAACTTCCAGAAAATAATAATTTTATTTATAGTTTAAGCAATAAAAGATATTTATTTTGTTTATGAAAAAAAAAAGTATCTTCCAAGAGCTCATTCTTACTCAAAACATAACAAAAGTGAATGAAAATTTGAAGTTTATACGTTAATTAAATAGCATAATTATAAACAATTTTTACCCAAATCATGATAGACTAACTATATATCCTTAAAAACAGAAACTTCTAAAGACATACTTTTCATTTGTGCCTATGTTTTGCCTAAAAATTACAGTTTAGGGTCCAATCAGCAAGATGATAGGAACCTTAATTTTACCTTGGGTATACCATTCCTTATGCATGGAAAATATATGTGGCGAACCATCCATTTGTGCACAGGCTGCATTATAAAAGAATCTATTCAGTTTAACAGTAATGGTTACGGCTAAGTGCTGATTGTTTTGACATGGTTTCAGAACCATATTCAGTAAATGATGGAATATTTAAGACATAATACATGGGGAATAAAAGTACAAGTTTCCTTCCTAATTTTTGTTAAAATAGCCTTACAATAGTGATATCAAAATCAGATATATATATTCATTGAAATGAATTTCATTTGAAAACTGACCAAGCATGTCATTTCACACAGGCAGTTCTGAAAAGGAAACATACCATATTCCACATCCTCCAATACTGATGACAGCAGCAGCAGCAGAAATGCATTCAACAAAGACAACTCATAAGTTCTCTTCAAAAAATTTTGATTAACTAAACAGTCCAAGAACATGCCAGGACTGAGCCTACCTCTTCAACAGTTCTGGCATTCCACCAATCTTTATAGAACTCACGATCACCAAATCGAAGAAGCTCTGCAAGTATATTTAACCTACATTGCAACAGTGCTTCTTAAGACTACAAATATTACTCAGCTTTAAAAAAATACAACATCGATAAAGGAATATATTTTAATGACCTTGTTTGTAGATACAACTTTTAATAACTAAATACACAATGACCATAACTCGAAGTTAAGCATTTTGAGCACCAGAAAACATCTATATTAATTTCATAAAATAATATTTTTAACAATGAGAAGGGGGAAAAACATTAAAAGTACAAAGAATGATAACATATCTCACAACATTAAAAGTTCAAATATGTGGTTAGTGTCTTGTTATGTCAGAAATTGTTCTCATGGGGGAGATGAAAATATAACTCTCCCAAGTTGACAAATAATCAAAATATATGGTAGAAACATCACATTACTCTCTAATTTCAAGAAAAGTTATTTAAATATATATTTTCAATAATAATCATTTTTTTATTTATTGATATAAGAGTATTATCTAAGCTAATTATTTTCTTTATAAATTATGCATTTAATATGTTTTCATTAAAAACATAACATAATTCAAATTTTCTTAATTTATTGTATTTTACGTAGTTTTAGCATAAAAAAATAATATACATGCATGTATCCATAGGACATATTATTGATTCAGTCAAACTTTACTTTTTTCGTAAACTCAAATTTTTGCACAGCCCACTTAATGGTAACAAATAGCAAACCACCAACTACTGACCTATATACATGGAGGGCAAGGAGAGTAGTTCACATCCTATATTGGATAACTTTGAGCAAGATATCACAATAGAAGAAATAGGCTTTGCATAAAGGTTGTTTATCATTTGTAGGATAGTAACATCCTTGATTATCATGCGTATTGCATGGATTTCTAAAGGTATAGTTTGAATCTTAGGAGTTTGGCACAAACTACTCTTGATAATGTTGATTGTAGCAAAGATAGCAATATGAACTTGATATTCAACACTAGGTTAACCTCCTCAACTACGGCCACGACAACTTCAACCACCATGATCACAGCCTAATCCTCGAAATTCATAAGATTCATCATAAAGTTGGCCATGAATGAGATTATCTGAGCGTGCATGGATTCAACCATTTTTGGTGGTGCAAGAGTGTTAAAATAAAAATGAGACAGGTTATAGTTTCACATTCACCAAGTACCTTTTTGCAAAAAAATTGTGAGTGCATTTCATGAGCAAGAAGTAGCATTGCCATTTTGTCAATAGTAAGTCGCCCAATTCCAGGTTATAGTTCTATTGAAGTGTTTTAAGTATAACATCCATATGTTCCTAAAGCAATACATCTATCATATGTGCTTTAAATGATTGGTTCAATTTGTTGACACCAAAGAAGAAATTATTTTCATCAAGCTTTTCCAGAATTGAACGGGAGAAAGTAGATGGTGAACTCATCGTCACATAGGAGGTGGAAAATAGTCCATTAGGAATCAATAGCTCTAGATAACATATTGAAGTGATAACATCAAAATAAACAAAGGAAAATCTTGATTTCATTAATGAGAGAGTTGTTACAATTAGTATTACACTTTGTAACACATCACTTTACACCAAATCAAGATAATCTTATATTGAATATTCATTTTCTATCTTCCTCTATCTCTACCTAAACCCTATACTTTCAAAACTTTATATATGTGCCAAAGAGAATGGCTTAAAATGAAAAGGACAATAAGCAGTGCCACAATAAAGAGAGGTCACAAATTAATTTTACATCTTAAAAATGATATACATTAGACAACAAAAGCCACATGCCTTTTAATCAACTAGATATTAATCAATGTTGCAATTAAATAAACAAAAGCATCATCATTATTAGGACATATCCATGGAAGAAGTCAGATTTTGGCTGATGCACATCAAAGAACTGAAACATAAGAGAGAGAGGAAATACATACCAGAGGTGGAAAAAGCAGTAGAACATGCAGAGCCACACGTATACATTTGGCACAGATAGCTTCAGAATTCTTTCAATTGCATATAGAAGGTTTCCCTTCAAAGGATGATGCGAATTTTGTACAATAGGATTCATATACTGCAAAATTATGAACAAAATGATGTTATAACTCAACACCACAGAATTAGTGATTGGAACTTTAAGGAGAAAAAAAAGGTAGAAACCAACACTAAAAAGGTAGTGCTTACTTGCTCGATTATAAATCCCATGACTCCTGTAAATATTATCAGCTTGAAGAGTTGACGAAACACCCAACCCTTTCGAACAGAAGGGGTGCGAGGATAGCTTGTCTAGAACAGTAATTCATCGCATAGGACATTTTAAGTGTAAAATACATGAGTAAAAATTGCATAATAGATCAAAATCAATACACATGCATTTTGGCAAGTGCAAAAACAAGTGAACAGCGGACAATGCTTAAGCAAAATCTGGGAAATTTTGCAACTTAATCCAACCATGGTGAACATATTACAGTCTTCCTGTTCTTTTCCTATTGACTAAAGCAGAGAATATAGTGAAGAGCAAATTTCTTACTTAAAAAGAAAACGTCAAAACAACTGAAGCTGCCAAGGCCAACCACAGTCTTATTAAGAAGTCCCACAAATCCACACTTTCATATGTCAACAGTGATGTTATAGCAGGTTCGTAAAAAGATCCTTAGCACCAGGATAAAACAAGAAATAAAACACCGACTATTTAAAATGTAACCAGATCAGCAATCCCATTTTACCCCTTCAAAATTAGTTGATTGAGGAAGATGCAGCTAAAAGAATGACATAGAAACAAGTTCATTAAAATGGAGAGAGGATTGCAAATTTAGTATGAATAGATGTACAAGTGACGCAGGATAGTGAATTTTGGTAGTACTGTAACAGATTTCATTTATGCAGTGTGTCGAACTGTCTTAGAAAAAATATACTACTATTCTTTAGAAATATTTACTCTTACCATTAAAATCATGAGACTCGACATGTACGATTATTTTTCTATAAAATTTTGCTTATGAAAAAAAAATGACATTAGTAACTGTCAAAGAAGTAGGCACTAAATAACTGAAAATTTGATCCTGTCTATGGACATGCCAGCAGAGAGAAAGGGGGAGGGATTATTATTCAAAAAAGAATTAAGTTAATTGGGCAACATACGGGGATAAAGAGATTCCCCAAAAGATAAGAAAATAAAGAACTACTCATTGGACAAATCCCATCAGTTGAGTGATTACAGATCAACATTCTTGTAGGATAGGGATCTAATTACAAGCTGTGCTATTGTGTGAGATAGATTAAGACTGGAACTCTAACTTAAAACCTCAAATGCATTACACACCAACAACATCGAGCAAACAAGTTCATAAAACAGTCCCTTTATGTGCTTCAGTCCAAAAAACTGTAACTCAAATGTCAGTAAGAGAGGTGAATCCAAAAATGCTACAACAAATAAAAATAATTATGCAAACAGAAAATAAACAACTCACTTAAAAATTTTACACTACCTGATAGCACAATGTAGGTGCAACCATGAAGTATGCCAAACTCTTGATCGTCACAGTGTATGGATAATCCATAGTCAAAGTATTTGGTAATGTTTCTCCCTATAAAGCAGGGAATCATTATTGAATAATGAGGGAAAATAAAACGTTTGTCTTTCACTGATAATGATAGAAGAAACTGTATTTTCCATATGATTTAGTTTTAAAACACAGGAACCACGACTACAGTTTGGTAACTCATCCTGTTCAAAAACTAAGCCATCACAAAAAATGTATAGGATATGATTTTATTTAAATATATTATCTTTCATGAAACTTAACCACTACCTTTTCATTTGAAACAGTTACTGCTCTCATATCATAGTTTGTATGTGCATATGACACCAATTTTAACCACACAATGCATGTAAATAACATCAACGTGACACCAGATACAAAAGCAGAATCGCACCTGCACAGAAAAAGTAACAGATCCATAAGCTATTTTTGCTGTATTGATATCTAAGAAATGAACCATACCAAAGGTATAGCTATTATATCCAACAAGCAGACCTCTTTATCCTATCCCTTACAAGGAAATCAACATCTAAAAAGAAAGCCAAATATGTGATCACCTTTTCTGTTACTGCAATGGGATTAAGTGTTATATGGATGTCAGTCAAATGCATCTGACAGTACATGATAATTCTTCAAATGGTTTTGACAGACTAAGCTGTAACTTTTGTCACATTAGCAAATTTGTTTTCAATTTTCCCTTAGACATAACTGATAGAACACTGAAATTTGAGATTTAGGCACACTAAATAAACAGAAAATTATAGCCGAAGTTGTCCCAGAATTGTAACAACGCCTACAGAAAATAACTCTGTCCAAAGAACTATACACCCTTCTGGCCACCTTTCCAATAATGATTTCTTACCAATTTAAATAATAACTGCTCCTATAAGACTTAAAAATTTCCCAGACCATACATAAAATGACTACTTCTAAAATACATAACTGAACCTAATAAAAACAGTACGCAGATTTAATATGTAACTGCTCTTAATTTCTCCAATAGCTATCATAACTGCCCCTAATCCCATTTAACCTTTTGTGTTTCTTATGATAATTTCCAAGATAATCAATCTAGTTTCAACATATGAATCAAATTTAGAAATGAGGTTTCATCAATGGGCATTAAATCTCTTCTCAAATACAACAACAATAAAGTTCCATCCCACTATGTAAAATCGGCAAATCTCTTCTAAAATAATGCCAAAAAATATCTCTTATAATTCCTTCCTAGATAATGATATTTTTCCATGACTACAACAGCTTTTCTCATGTTAAGCTCATATTACACTCGAAAATACTTATAAAATTTACTATGATATGGTCTAATAACAATGTTGATGAAATTATAAATTGAAACCCTGGAATAAATTTTGAAGACTACACTGACCTGAGTATTACTAGAACTGGGTAGGATAATTCGACAGTTGAGATAACTAGATAAAGAAGAATAACAACCTGCAATATTCAATTCAACATTCCCATGTATGTAAATATCAAATTTTATGTGATTAAATTATTTCATGTCATATTCTGAAACTATTGTGCATCATAGAAGAATCAAGGAATTGATGTGATCAGTTGTCACAATATTTATTTTTTGTAAAATGTAATAAAAGTTTACTTAGTTATTGGCCAGACCACTTACCCGTTCAGAAATACACTTCTGTTGTGCCAGCCTTTCCACTATAAAGGCAGCAAATGGAAATATGGCGAGACTAAGACTGTAAACAAAGCATAGACACAGTTTCAGAATGTCTAACAATTTAAGATTTGATCCTCAAAATGTATACACGACACAGTCTATTCTTCAGGGGATACATCAAACATACCAGCACATGAAGAGGGGCCAATCTCTCAACGATTTAGAACTAAACCAAAAGCCATACTTAATCAACCAACCATACTGCAAACATATAAGACAAGAAACATTCACACATATAAGAAAGTTTAAAAAGCCGTACAGAGATAAATGCATGTTTACATGTTGGAGATGCAAATCTTGCATGACTGACATAAAAATGGAAAAGGATACCTTCATTATGTTCTCAATGATAAGTCTGCTGTTCACCGCAACAAGCACTACTATACAGAGATTGAACAGTCCTGCGTGACTCTGTAATTCATTGATTATTAGTTATTAGTAAAAAGGAAAACAACTAATTATTCCCCGCCAATGTAATTGTAGGATGTAACAAAAATAAACTAGAATCTCTCAATTCTACTTAATGAAACACAAAAATTGAAAGTTAACAAGCCGGTACTCGTAATCGTAAACTAGGAGTTCAATCAACGAAAAAGAAAAATTAAATAAATATATACGATCATTTATATTACAATGTTTGTATAACTTGAAGTAAATGATTAAAACAATGTATATAACTGTCTCAACTACAAAATCGCTGACTCGATGACATCTAGTGAAGGCAATAGCACAAACACTACATATCTACATAATTATTGTTATGATTACTACAAAATCTTGAAAACTGTTAAGGTCGCCATCTTCATTTTCAATTCAGTGAATTACGAGGCACGAACCTTGTCATGCAGGATTGCGATCAAGAACTGGCACAAGAAATGTACCTGTCTGAAGATGTTATCGGAGCTGAGCGGACTCTCCTTGATTCTGCGGTGAGCAGGAACGGAGGGACGGTAAGCGTATTTGACATCGACGACTGCTTCCTGGTGCTCTTTCCGGACGTCATTGGTGACGGCATTATCATCGGAGGCTGCATGATTCGGCTTGCAATCTTTATTCTCCTCGACGTTTTTGCTGTACACGGATTCGTCGGAGCCGGAATCTCTAGCGGCGCCTTCAGCGTCGAAGAGGCCGCCCGTGGAGGTGACGCTGGACCTCCGCCGCATAGAAGGCCGTCTGAGATCTGAGTCGCTTTGACCGGTGGCGTTGCCTACGCTTTCAGGCACATCAGAGATCGCCATCGGCGACGAGTAACGGTTTGTTTGCTCTGTCGCCACACGGCACTCACGTGGAACTGCAAAAACGATTCGTTCTTTTAATGTAAAAAGACTGCGTATTGCTTTATATAGGGGGAGAGAGAGAAGAATCGGAATCAATTAAGAGAAAGATTCGAAATGAGGTGGTGGAATAGCAGAGCGAAATTTCGTGAAGTGGCGAGAAACGTCGTGAGAGAGTTTAATGGGAAAATATTTAATTTGAAGATGTTTAGTTAAAAAGAAAAGAAAAATAATGGGCGAGGGTGTAGCGTGGTCTGTGGGGTGAGGAAGAAGAGGTGGCATGTGTGTGGGAGAAGAATAACGGGCTAGTGACTCGTCAGGGACTTTAGAATATTGTTTTCCTTGTGTTCCTTTTTCTTTTTTTCATTTTGTTTTCCTTGTGTTCCTTTTTCTTTTTTTCATTTTTAGTTTTTTGGTTGCTTGTTTTGGCGTGTGTAGATGCTTTGTTGTGGAAGTATTTTGAGAGAGCAGTAAAGGTTGGGAAGGGGAAGGGGAAGGCGGTAAATGATGCATTGAAGCAGAGCAAAGCATATTTATGAAATTGAACTTGATTGGAAGGTTCCCCATCCCTGTGAAGAAAATTACGCGGGAGGCACACCTCTACGTTCACAAACGCGGACTTTTTGCTTCTGAAGCAATAAATGCTTTAGTATCATAGTAAAACAAAGTGAATGCTCCTTTAAATTAATACGTCAAACGCGGACTTTTTGCTTCTGAAGCAATAAATGCTTTAGTATCATAGTAAAACAAAGTGAATGCTCCTTTAAATTAATACGTCTTGGGAATCCAAACTAGTTAATCCATAATTACCGGTACCTCAAGGGCCTATTTGTTGTGTGGCTTGTATTATTATTTCATTACGGTAATCTTTTATTTTTATATAAGGCTTACATTATTATTTTTGTTACGTGATATTATTTTTACTTTTATTTAAGGCCTCCATAAATATCAATTGGAAACACCCTTTTTTATTGTAGGTTAATAAATCAGCTCTGGCTATTATTCCCTTTTTCATGTTACTCTGAATTTTTAAATATTAATTTTAAATGTAAACATTATAAACATTACGTTTGATGATGCTCGATGATCAACTGTGAATTCTGAGCCTAGCAAACGCGTTAAATCACAAACATTAAACCCTCTACAGTGCTGTCGAAACATCGTATGGTAAAAGAACTCTTGCACGCTGTATAAAGACTTGCATTCTATAGTAAACATTGAATATATGTGGAAGCTGAGACGTAATAACAGTAAAAATGGTTTTGGTCCCCTTTGTAGTCCTTATACGGGTTATTAATATTAATATACGAGTGCGTTGACATCTAGCTTCAGACAATAACGCTGCATAGGAAATAAATGTAAATGGCAAAACAGTAATTTCAAGCCACATGAAAAGTCGTTCAAAAGAGTCAAAATAGCTTTTAAAATATTTTGCAATTTCAATATCATCCTGATCTTACCCACATTGTGACAAGGGAAACAACCTACAACTGATGATTCGGCGAGACCTATGATTGTTACAATTAATATAGCTGTGTCCCAATATCATATGCCTCTAAACCGTACTCACATCCTTAGAATATCGAAGGATACAAGTTGATAGCTATTTCAATTGGGGTAGCAACAATAGTCATTAGAAACACATTACCAATGACCAGTTCATTTTAACACCATTTTCCTAATTGAGGAAAATGAAGCAACCAAGAAAAACAAGTGTCCTTTAAAATGCACATGTAACCCGTTAAACCTCAAAAAAGGGTACAACAAGGCACACCACCGCCATTAAATTAATGTTTCATGTGCCATGCCACGGACCAACTATGAATACATTGAAAAAATGAACGTATGTTAAAACTACCAAAACGTATAATTGAAAACCTTGCTTGCTAGAAAGGTGCAACAACTATCAATACACCAACTCAGAAAATGATGTGATTCCACATTGTAAGTACTTATCACTTTGGACATCCAGACGACTGACAATGTAAATTAAATTACTACACCTATTAAAAAAGTCAAACAAGGTTTAAGAGCAGAAATACAACAAATGGGGCAAAAAGGAAAAGAAACATTACATAACACTTACCTCGGAGACCAACTTCCCTCTAATATATGATGGAACAAAAATACTCATCAAAGGAGTTCAGCAACATTTGAAGGCAGCTCCTCAATTAGCACATTGTAAAACTTCTGGATGTCATACAGCATTTTTTCATCTTCCCTTGTGACAAAGTTGATAGCAACACCTTTCCTGCCAAACCTCCCACTACGACCAATTCGATGGAGATAGTTCTCAGGCTGTGTTGGCAGATCATAATTTATAACCAAAGACACTTGCTGGACATCAATACCACGGGCCAAAAGATCAGTAGTTATTAAAACACGGGAAGACCCAGAACGGAATTCACGCATAATAATGTCTCTGGTATTCTGGTCCATGTCTCCATGGGTTGCTGAGACTGTGTGGTCTCGGCTGCGCATCTTGTCGGTCAGCCAATCAACCTTTCTTCTGGTGTTCACAAAAATGACACTTTGAGTAATTGCCAATGTCTCGTAAAGATCACAGAGAGTGTCAAGCTTCCATTCCTCTTTATCAACATTGACATAAAACTGCTTGATACCCTCCAAGGTGAGCTCATCACGCTTCACAAGGATCCTCACAGGTTTGTTCATAAATTTCCTCGTGATCTCAAGAGCCTCAGGAGGCATTGTTGCAGAGAAAACTCCCACTTGAATCTTAGTTGGAAGCAGCTGGAATATATCATAGATCTGGAAGAAAATAAAATCTCCAAGGTAATTCAAATGAACTTACTATCAAATTTAAGCTTTACTGGTTACTGCTGACAGCATAAGAAAAATCTACATACTAAGCATACAAATAAAGATACAAATTAAACAAATTAGAAACAGACATAATAGACAATATTAAAAAATCAATGAAGAAACATGCCAAACATGGATAAACAGCAATGAGCTAATATCATTTCTGTATTTTTATACTTTGATAAATTAGCTATTGACAAAATTCATGAATAAGCACCTGATCTTTAAAACCACGGGAAAGCATTTCATCAGCCTCATCCAATACAAACATCTTGATGTAATCTGGTCGAAGTGACTGTCTACGCAGCATATCAAATACACGCCCAGGAGTACCAACAACAACATGAACACCACTTGATAGAATTCGTTGGTCTTCACGTACACTGGTACCTCCCACACATGCGTGCACCTTAACACCAAGATAATCTCCAAGTGCCCGCATCACTTTCTCAATCTGCTGAGCAAGCTCCCGAGTTGGTGCTAAAACCAAGGCTTGGCATTCTGTCACACTATAGTCAAGTTGCTGCAGAATTCCAGAGCAGAAAGTTGCTGTCTTCCCAGTTCCAGACTGAGCCTGTTGTATAACATCAAGTCCCTTGCAGAATGGAACTATTCCCCTTTGCTGAATCGCTGATGGCTTCTCGAAACCTAAAACACAAATTAAACTAGTTTAAATACACGCACCTATCAATATCAGCAGAAGGACAACAAACAGCAAGGAATGTTTCTTTTACGTCAGCTTCTTTCGTTTCCAGGCATAAAAAGATAGGAACATTTATTCTCATGTTTGTTAGAAGATTATCAAAGTGGTTTCCATGTATCTTATATTCCCAAGAAACCTTATTCCCATGCTTAAGGTACTTTTCATTCTCATGACAAGGGGATGGGAAATGGTATTCCCATGGGAATATGGGTAGTCATCTACTATTACTCTTATAATTATAATTTTTACTTATTTTTTATTTAAATTATTTTTAAATTAAAAAATATTCATAGGAATAGAACAATGTAACCAAATATTTTCTAAAAATACCAGGAAAAACGTTCCTAGATAATATATTCTTAGGAATATGACTTATGGGAATGTGTATGATCCTGTGAAAAAAAAAATCAAGGTTTAAATAAAAAAATGCAGTTGAATATCACAATAAAGTACAAATAACTCTTACTTAATTTGAAACCCATAGATATTAAAGAAAAGCAATAGAGGACATTAGAAAGTTAAATCTACCATATGCATAAATGCCTCTCAGGAGATTCTCTTGCAAACCCATAACATCAAAACTTTCATAAACCTCATCGTAGGATGTGAAGAAATCCTGTCCATCAGTTGTAAGCCTGCAGCCATTAAACTATCAGAATAAAACAAATAACAATATAATCCCATTTCACCCATAGGTGTAGAATTAGACTGGAACTTAAAAAAAAAAAAGTTTATGAATGCTAATGAAAAATAATTCTACAACAAATATTTTGAAGAACAATAACAAAAAGTAAATAAATAAAGTGGAAGATCTTACAACTCATTCATCTTGTTATCATATTGACGAGCATCAAACTGTGATCCCTCAGGTGCAAGTCCTGCCATGACTGAAATGTGGAAAGATATAGTATTATGACTACATTTATTAAAGAATGTTTGGTTGGTGTTCAGCCAATCCAAAGACCATTTGCCGCTCAAATGGGCCACATAAACACAACTAGCGAAGTTCATGTTTACACTCAAACGTTGTTTACTCACTGACTGCAGCCAAATAGGCGACAACTTTTTTTTTATTTGGCCATGACAGAAAAAAAAAACAGTTTGTCTGCGAATTGACAAAAATACACTAGTAACTTGATACAACAAATAAGCTTTACATATCGTACTTCTACTCCAGAAGGGATTCTATTATAACTCACAAACAAGTTTTATGGAAACCTTTTACCATCAACTTTTTAACATCAAATTACGCTCAATCTAACTCGAGACATAGGTCATACCCATTCTGTTAATAACACAACAAAAAGTAATTGATACACAGACCATATATCGAAAGTAATTCCAACGAAAAAACAATTCAAAATAAATGTTGATGTTTCCAATCAAATATTGTTTCACTCTATCTCACTTCTAATAAAATCAAGTTCATAACTCCAATCCGAGTCGGAACACCCGCTAAGCAGATCAAGAAACGAAAAACTAAAGAAACAACAATAAATAGCCTAAGAGAACACAGTCAGAACAAAACCAAACATCAACAATAAATTTGATGTCACATACGCATAGGAAATAAATAAAAACCTCTACAAATCAGCATCGATATCGAAAGGAAACAAAATAGTTACTAAAAGGTAAACACCTGAGCGTTTGTAGGGTTCAAAGCAAACAAAAGCTAACAAAGCAGAGCAGCATAAGCAGATCCCATCGCCTAATGGAAATAACAACTACATCCATTGAATACAAGCGAACTAGAAAGAGATATATCATCGAATCGGAGAAGAGAGAGCAACCTTAGGGCGAAGAAAGAGGTCTTTGATCGGAGGAGAAAAAGGCGAAGAGAGTGATGAGGTCGTTTGTGAGAGCAGTTAGGGTTTCCCAAACTGCTCAGATCTACGCCGCGGAAAAAGAGAACAATGCGTTTACGAGAAAGTGAGTGGGAACTGTGAGAACAACGAAGATTATACCAATACACGCTCTCTTTTTTGGCTTTGGGAGTGTGTGTTTTTCGCGATTCCGATTTTGCCCTTTTCTTAAAACCCCACTTACTTTGCAACCAGTCAACCGGCACGGGTCAAACCGCCATGAGATGTTGGGCTCCGGCCCATAACGAAAAAAAAAATTATAATTTTTTTCAAATATACTTTATAAATATTTCGAGATATAATATATTTTCTTTTTAAATGAGATATTATTATAAATCCTCTTCCTTGCTTTAAATAAGGAAGTAATAAAATTTTTTATTTTTTTAGGATATTAAATAGATATATTAATACGTTATCTCTTATCATTCTAAATGAATTATATTCAGATTGATGCAGTTTATTTTAATAATATCATTGTGGTTAACTTTTGGATATAATTTATTAAATTATGTTAGTAATATTCTTTATTAATGACGATAATTTAAAATAAATTCAAAATAAAAATAATATAAATAGTATTAATAACATTTTTAAGTGATATTTTATTTTATATTTGCTTATAAATTATAGGTATTTTTTTAATTAAATATAATTGCTATAAATTAATAAAAAATATACTTTTTCTTCATTTAGATAAACAAATAACTGATATGTTAATAATTTTCATTATTAAATAATCAACCAAATTAGTTTGTGATTAAAATGGTTAAAAATAATAACAAAAATTATTTAAGAAAATGGATGTACGTATTGATTAAATTTATTTGATAAAATTATAATTTTTAAATATAATTAAATGGAACAAAAAATATAAATTATAAATTGAAAAATATTTATGGAAGAATTTTAGTCCATTCTTTCTTATTAAGAATTGACATCAAATTCATTTCATCTATTGTATCTTTGATTTTATTTTATCAAAGTAACTATTTAATCTTTTATTTTTTTTTAAAGATTGTGTACTAATAGAACTTAAAAATTATTCCTCAGCATTAAAACATTCTAAATTAAAAATTTACTCCATTCATATTTTTACTCATCAATATCATTATGATAAGTAGCTTTGTTTTTATCAATGTTTATTTTAAATTCATGTGTGATAATTAACAGACAAAATAATTACTAACGTAACATGAAATCTTTATGATTCTTTCGATGACTTACTAACAATGTAAGAATTGCATCTATCATAGCTTGCATACATAGGAAAAAAGATTCCTCTCATCTTACCTTTGATGATATCACTTTATCATCAATTAATCACTTATTTATATTTTGTTTAAACTTATGTAATATATATCACAAGTAAACAAAATGTTTGTCAATATTTACTTTATATTATGGATAATAATTTTTTTATTTGAATTTTATGATATTAAATTACTTATATGTTTTTCTAGATTATATGTTACACTAGTACCTTTATCAAATATTACTGTTATATAATTATTACTTTTTCAATAAATACGTTTTGTTAATTATTGATTAAGGGTTATAAATAAATCATTTTAATTATTGATTAAGGTTTATAAATAAATCATCTTTTTTAAATTCAGCTCTCATTTCTTTGTACTATAATCAAGATAAAATAATTTTCATTTATTCTAGTTTATATCATTTTTAAAATATTTATTTTATCTTTTAATATTTTAAATTTTGATTCATCCTACTTATAACTATTAAATAAATTAGTAAATAATATTTTATTAACCGTTATACGTACTTTATTATTAATAGATATTCATATCCAAGTTATGTTTCCCACTTAATTTTGAAGACCCATCGAAGTTCCTGATGCAATTAGAATATATATATATATATATATATATATATATATATATATATATATATATATATATATATATTTTAAAAAAAATTATTTGATTGTTGGCAAAAATATCAATTATTACAAAAAATATTTGTAGTAATTTATTGAGAAATATTTTCTTTATGTAAAAATTAAATTGACATAAAATAATATAATCAACTAGTTAATATAACAATTAAAATAATAAAATATATAAATGATTCATAATAGTACCAGTTAACAAATATCACCTTATGTTCATTAAAAAGTTGTAATTAAATTATTTTAAATTTTCACTTATAATAGTTTAATTATCAACTTAAAAGTAATAAATGATATATTTTTTAATCCAAAAATCTATTATCCTTTCAATAAGTGTTGATTTAAATTTTCAACTATTTTTTTGACTTAATAAACATAAGATGACCTAGCTAATCATATCAAACAACAAAATTTATTTTGTTTCATAACCTTATCGCCCAACCATAACATACATCATACATAATAGAAATACAATATCACAACTAACCTTAAATCGTAAAGTAAAATAAAAATAAAAATTCCTTGTATTAATAATATATTATAAATATATAAGAATAGGGATAAATAAGGAAATAAATAATAATGTATTAAAATAATTTTCTTTATTATTATTATTGAATACAATTTCTTATTTATAAAGATAAGTATAAATATAATTCAGGTATTACACACTTGATATTATTGAATATAAAATATAAGAAGACAATGACATCTGTATTATTTGGAGAAAGAGAAACGCAAAAAAAATAAAAAAACAGTAAATATAATAACACATGTAAATACACTTATTATCAAAATAATTATTATTCATAGCAAAAATATAAAAAATATTCAAATAAAAATTTTATTTTTTGATAAAAATTATTCAAATAATTTTTTTTATCAATTTATTTATTCAAATAAATCGATTTATTATTCATATATAATTTTCATTTTTTATATATAATTTTATTTTATTTCATTCATTTCTTATTTTTTATATTTCTATCTTACGTCTCTTACCTCTACCTTTTTTTTCTTTCATTTATTTTTCTAATTAAATCACTACACTAAACTTTATTAAAAATATATTAAAAAATTAATATTTTAAAATAAACCATAAAACTAAAAAAATATTAACTAATAATTTTAAATTATGATAATAATAAAGTTTTTTAAATTTTAATAGTCAATAATTTAAAATTATTTTATCATAATAAATAATTGTTTATTTAATTAAAAATATTAAATATTTTTAAATTAAATATATTTTTATTTAATAATTTAATATAGTTATAATTAGATTGAAATTATTATAGTTAACTAGATTAAGTAATTAAAAAAATATTTATTAAAAACTAATTTAAATTATATTTTTTAAATATAATATATTAAATTATAATATTTTTGAATACTTTAAATATTTTTTAATAATAATAAAATACATTTGATCAAATTTCAACCTTTTTAATTAAAGAATAAAATAAAACAAGAGAAGAACACAAAACAAAAGAGAAAAAATAAACACTAAATAATCATAGAAAAAATAAAAAATAAAAAGTAAATAATAAAATAATAAAAGAAAAATTATATTATATTAAATAAATTTATTTTTTTGATTAAATTTTGTGTAAAAATAATAAATAAGTTAGATAAATAAATTTTTTAAAAATTGTATTTAAATAATTTATCTTTTAAATATATAATTTATGAATTAATGTCGCAAAGATAATATTTGTATTAAAGAAAGAAAGTAAAATTAAACTGTATGTCCATTTATTTTTTGAAGTAATTAAACAAAATGAATATAACATGACCCGAAGAATGAGTGAGCCCTTGGCAAATCCGTCGCGAGGGATAAAAACACTCGCTGCGTTCGTCTTCCCCAATGCTTTTTTCCACACGCATCTCGGAGTTCGCTCTCTTCAGAAACCCCATTTAGATACTTTCGCTATCGCACCAAGTAACCCTTGTTCCAATTCATCCTCGCCACTCCTCCTCACCTTCGATCTAAATCGTCCTTTTCGCCCCACACTGTAAGTTTATCTTAATTGCATTCACTCTCTGTCTTGCTTCATTTCTTGATCGTTCCCCCTTTTTACCTTTCATATTTTGATTTTAATTCCGCACCGATTGCTTATTATTTCATACTCGGTTTCCACCGGATCAAGGTTTTATTGTTTCCCTGTTTCAATTTGAATTCCCGTTTCGATTGATTTCGTTTTCACTACCAGGGTTGTGTTTTTATTTTATTTTATTTTTTATATCTCTGCAGAGTTGGGATTTTTTGATAATTGATATGGGTGATAGCAGTGTTCCATCTGGGTCTCCAAATGCAAAACCAGATCTTGTTGATGGAGACTCAGTGGTTTCCAATAACGCCTCATTGGAAACTATTGTGCAGACTTTCCAAGATTCAATGACTCTTGGTAAGAGACATAAGTTCTGGGAGACACAACCTGTTGGGCAATATAAGGATGTTGGGGACGCAAGTTTGTCAGAAGGCCCCATTGAACCCCCAACACCTTTGTCTGAGGTTAAGCAGGAACCTTATAACCTTCCTAGTGCATATGAGTGGACCACATGTGACATGGACTCTTCGGAAACCTGTGATGAGGTTTATGTTCTGCTGAAGAATAACTATGTTGAGGATGATGAAAACATGTTCAGGTTCAACTACTCCAAGGAGTTTCTCAGGTGGGCACTGCGTGTTCCCGGGTATTACCGAAGTTGGCACATTGGTGTGCGTGCCAAGGCGTCGAAGAAGTTGGTTGCTTTCATCAGTGGCATCCCGGCAAGGATCAGAGTTAATGAGGATGTTGTGAAGATGGCTGAGATCAATTTCTTGTGTGTTCATAAGAAGCTCAGGTCGAAAAGGCTTGCACCTGTTATGATCAAGGAGGTCACCAGGAGGGTTCATTTGGAGAATATTTGGCAGGCAGCTTATACAGCTGGGGTTGTGCTTCCAACGCCAATCACAACTTGTCAGTATTGGCACCGATCATTGAATCCGAAGAAGCTAATTGATGTTGGATTTTCAAGGCTTGGTGCGAGGATGACGATGAGTCGCACAATAAAACTTTACAAATTGCCAGATTCCCCGGTTACTCCTGGATTCAGGAAAATGGAGCTTCGGGATGTCCCTGCTGTCACTCGGCTGCTTAGAAACTACCTGAGCCAGTTTGTTGTTGCACCCGATTTTGATGAAAATGATGTAGAACATTGGCTACTTCCCAATGAAAATGTGGTGGATAGTTTCCTCGTGGAGAGTCCAGAGAATCACGAGATCACTGACTTCTGCAGCTTTTATACTCTCCCTTCTTCTATCCTTGGAAATCAAAATTACTCAATTTTGAAAGCTGCTTATTCTTATTATAATGTCTCCACCAAAACCCCATTGACTCAGTTGATGAATGATGTGCTAATAGTAGCAAAGCAAAAGAATTTTGATGTTTTCAATGCCTTGGATGTAATGCACAATGAGAGTTTCCTCAGAGAGCTCAAGTTTGGGCCGGGAGATGGACAGCTTCACTACTACTTGTACAATTATAGGATTCGTAATGCCTTGAAACCATCTGGACTTGGGCTTGTGCTTTTGTAGTTTTGATATTATTCAGTTTTGGTGTTCCTGTGTAATTGGCAAACCATTCATTTGTTTTGTTTTATTAGCTGCTTGTTTCAACATTACTTCTTGTTCCTTTCAAATACTGGCAATTAACATATTAGGTTTGCAGGGTATGTAAAGCCAATCGTTTGGCAGACTTTCAGCTAATATGCCTACATTGCAAAATTCTGAAGTAGTTATAGCCTGCTGCTGCTTTGATTTCCTTTTTCTTCTTGACTTTTTCATCCATGATTGCATGAGAGTAGTTCACAATTCTTATAAAATTAATCCTGTTAAGCTTTTGTTGCTTTTTGGTTGCATATGTTCTGATGCAGACGAGTTTGTTTTGCTTTGTGCACTTGCTCTTATAATCTCCCATTTGACCAATTTGAAGTTTATTAGATTGGGGTGTGCAAGTAGGATTTTGTAGTGATGGATTGAATGTTATAACATAGGATATATCATCATCAACTCTTGTTTTTATATATACTCATTAGGGCACGGTTAAGTTAGCTTTCTATGCAATAGATAGTTTTATTCTTTTATATGAATACGAGCCTAACACTACCTCGCCACCAGGTAAGCCTTTTCTGGTGGCTTTCCTTTTTGTTAGGTTTGAACTTTGAGGATTTCCCCTCTTCTGTTATTTTTGAAGATATTTATTGAGAAAATAGTAAAAAAGTATACGTTTTGAGCTTACTTCCCTAACCACATCAAAATTTGCACCAATGAAGCTTATGAAAATAGGAGAAAGTCGCCCATAAATTGGGTCTTAGCTTTGCCACTAACAACAGCCATTGAAACCATCCCTGGGTGCAGCTGCCATGTACTAGACATCGGGATTGGATCCCTATTTCAGTTCCCACCCATGATCAGGTTAGAGCTGAAGCCAATTGTCATGAAGATAATGTGTATATTAAACCTTGTTTTTTATGTATTTTTTTGTTTCCTTGTATTGTGATTTTGGCATTTTGTATTGGGTTTTAGTTTGTGTAGATTTCAGTAGGACCTACTGGTGAATTATTTGTTTCTTTTTGCATGACAAAGTACTGATGTTAAAGAAAGAAAAAAGAAACTTCAGTGTTGGTGGATAAAATAGAGGAGTGGGAAGGACTTGTGCTCTTGTATTTTGATACTATTCAGTTATGGTTTTGCTGGTTCTGCTATGTAATTGGCAAATAGCCCATCTTAAGGCAAATAACCTAGCCTAACATGCTCAAACTGCAGAATTCTAAAGTTGTTACAGTCTACTACTTGGATTTCCTCTTAGCTCTATTTCCTTCTCGAGTTTTTCACCAGTTCACAATTCTTGCAAAATTTATCCTGTCAAGCTTTTGTTTCTGTTTGACCATATGTTTTGTTGCACATGATCTCTCAGCTGTCCAATGAAGGTTGAATAGGTGCGCAGGTCTTTGTAAATAGAAATTTATAAGGGTTAATTGAATGTCTTGATTGTTAGGGAACGGTTTAATTAGCTATGCATATAAGGGATATTCTTTTGTTGTGAAGATACAGTGGAATACTAACTTTTCTGAATGTTTTCCTTTTTTATTTTTTAGTTTTATGATCGGTTTTAACATATTCACGACTAATTAATGATAACAAACTTTGTGTCAATGAAAGTAGCGAAAATAAGTGAAAATCGTCTTCACTGGAGAAATACGGACCATGTCTTGGGTCAAACATGTTTTACTCATGTTCAGGGTAAAATTGTAGTTAAATTCTAACTAGTGTTTGCATTTGCTGTTAATAGCACAGATTAATTCAACAATGAGCTATATTTATATTTGATTATAAAAAAGGATTATATGTTTATGTTAGGTATAAAATTTATTTCAAGATAATTTATTTTGTTTTAATTGTTTTAAAAAGGTAAATTTTTAGATTAAAATTTTAAAGGAAAGTATATGGCATTATTTGTAGGATTTAATTTTGTATGTAAATTAACTCATTGTCAAGAAAATGATAGAAAAATGAAATTAACCAAGTGGTTTTGCAACTTTTAATCATAAGTGAATATATTGCTTAGGTTGATAAAAACTTTTATGCTATCTAATAGATAGTTCGCATTTTTTACTACAAGCGTCCATTATGACTTGACTATACTATGAGAGGAATATTTACTATATTTAAACTTCCAGAAATATTATTTATTTATTTTCATTGTTTAATAAGAAATGATATATGTCAATGATATAGTTACGAAATTAGTTTTAAAGATAATAAAAGTTATTGTGTATTTTTACTATTTTTTTCTCTCCATTATTTTTCATTTCTCTTCAAAAAATTCTCTGTTATAATGATTTTTTTTTTATAAAATACAAATAAAGTCATATTCAAAACAATTTAACATATATTTAAGTTAGTTTTTTTCACAGTGAATTAAAATTACATCAGGACGAAAAAATTCTTTAGTCCTAAAGTATCTCCTTGCATGATCCGATGATATTTTATTATAAACAAACAGACCAAAGTCATTTATGGAATATTTATTATCATAAGTTATGCATTTTTATTTATTTATACAATTTTATTCTAGGACAAAATAAATCTATCTGATCACTTAGATTAAAATTAAAAATATATTAAATTTATGTAAGTTCTACGTTTAATTTACAATCATATCAAATTGATTAATTTTCTAAAATGTTATGTTTGAAGTTAAACTTCAACGACCCGTACGAACCATGTCAATTTCTAGTCAGGAAGAGACGACAAGAAACGTAGAGTGGGTTTAAATCAATAAATGCTGTCATTTTCTAAATCTGACCCAATCCCAAAACGCCACGTGGATATTTCTGATGAGAGTTAAATATGTCGGCGCCCGCGAATTAAAACGTGCCACTGCGTACCATCAATTATTTAAAAAAATTCAACTTTGGGCCCTCCGGACCCTTGCCATGTTCCCTTTAACATCTTCTAAGTATATATATATATATATATATATATATATATATATATATATATATATATATATATATATATATATATATATATATATATATATATTTGTTTTAAGTTTATATTTAAGATTTTTTTCTTAAATAATATTTTTAAATTAAATATATTAGTTTTTATAACTTTATTATAATATTATGGGTGTAAACATATTAACAAAGCAATCATTTTTACAAAATCACCATATTACAATTACTATATGTTAAATTTGGAAGGGTGTTAAAAGTAATATTTGTGGTGGTAGTAGGAATTATATTTTAGAAGCATTCTAATTTGTGTAGTAAGAATTTAATTTTAAAACAGGCTCACAAAATTTTTATTTTTTCCAAAAGTTTTAAGGTGCTCAAATAATTTATTTTTATTTGTTTCTTTTTAGTATTTTGCTATGAAAATAACATGAACATTAAGGATGCATTTTTCAATTAATACATAATTATATTTGTTTTATATTACCTTAATACTCTTTATTTTTCTTTTAATACAAAAAATATGACGAGACAATCAATAATTTATATAAGATATTAGATTTCTCAATTTTTTTTATATAAATTATTGTGTTAATTTCTTAACCTTGACCTTATTTTCTTCTTCTTCTATATATTATCTATTATGCAAATTCTCCAAAACCAAGAAATTAAATTATACCATGAAACCATACATTTTGACGTTCCTATTATTCCTTCTGCTCGCGGATAAATCCCATGCAAAGGGTGGGGTTCGTTCTTCTCTACGCCGAGGATTATTCAGGAGCACCGGCGGCGGAGTGATCGGTTTCCGATGGCACAACACCGTCAACAACGTCGAACAACAGGAGTTGTCTCCGCCGCCGCCAACCAAGCAAGTCAAAGGCCTTTCTCGCATCAAAGACTACTTCTCCGACTTCGGCTACCTCCAATCCTCTCCTCCATTCAACGATTCCCTCGACCACCAAACACGAACCGCTATCAAGTCCTACCAGCGTTTTTTCAATCTCAACCCCACCGGCGACCTAACCAACGAGACGTTCCACAAACTTTCGCTGCCGCGGTGCGGCGTCCCCGACGTGAACTTCGAGTTCTCCGCCGTGGGGAATGTGTCGTGGCCCAAGGCCGGGCGGCGGTGGTTCTCCGGGATGAGGCTCACGTACGGGTTCTTCCCGGCGAGTAGGATTCCGGGGAACGCGACTGAGGTGTTCAGGAGGGCGTTCGCGCGGTGGGGTAGGGCTGTTCCGGGGTTGAATCTGACGGAGGGGAGTTATGATGAGGCTGATATTAGGGTGGGATTTTACGATTTGGACGAGGGCGTTGAGGATGTGGTGTGGGGTGAGAGCGTTGTGAGGTTGCGGAATGGTATGACCGGAGAGATACGTTTGGATGCGAGCAAGGAGTGGAGGCTGGCGAAGGAAAACGGCAGCGTATTGGGGAAGGAGGGGGCGTTGGATTTGGAGAGTGTGGCGATGCATCAGATAGGGCATTTGTTAGGGCTTGATCATTCGAACGTGGAGGAGTCTGTTATGTACCCTTATGTGTTGCCGTCGAAGCAAAGAAAGGTGGAGCTCTCGGTCTCTGATAAGGTCAAGATTCAGGGTGTGCTTAGTCATGGAAACTCTGGTCATGGTGAACATTGGGGAGTGTCTCTAACAATTACCGCATTAGGGTTTATGCTAATTCTAGCTTGATTTTGGATGAATACGGTGGCTTTTTTGGTGGCATTTACTTGAATTTGTTGAGTGTTAATTTCTGCTATTTCTCTTTATCTTGTATTGGTAATCAACACAATGCTAGTGAGTTGTGCTTTTTGATGAAGTGGTGAGCGTGCTCTAACTGTGATGATTGCTAGGCCATGGTGAAAACGTGGTCGTTTCACGACTGCAGAGTTGAATGGAGTGGTACAAGTTAGTGGGGGCCAATGCAAGTGAACATAACCATGGAAATGCAACACAGGCTTGAGGATAAGGTTTCGGGTTGTCACTCTCATGTTTGTTGGAGTTTGACTCTTGTTTTTTATCATTTGCTTTTTAGTATAACTATTAATATGTACTTTTTTTTTATTGAAGTACTTCTAATATATTATTAAGGTACAAACCTTATCTTAATCAAGTTCAACACTTTAATTTCTAACATTATTATTTAAAGTATTTATAATTATATTATTTTAACAATATTATATTTCCTTACATATATATTAATTGATGGTAGATAACTAATATTAAAAAAAATATATAACAACTGAAAGCAAACAAATTAACTAAAATAATTAATTTATATTATGAGAGTTTAAAATTAATTTAAAACAAAAACACTTCCAAAATACATTTTTATTGATAAAATTAAATTCAATTTTACATAAAAAATCATATAAACATTTTTTTTACTTCTAATTTAAGAAAGTAGTTTAATAGTTTTCACCTGTTACCTGATTTTCCAGCAATCCAGTTATTTTTGTGATACATAACCTAGTAGTATCCATATCAGTGAAAAAGAAAGAGAGAAAGGAATACGAGGAATATTCAACCATAAGTTGAAAAAGTCTCAATTAAATCTCCTTACAAACTATGTTTGGTTTAGTTTTTTTAAGAAATAAAAAATATAAGATATTATTCAAGTAATAAAAAAAAACTTATAATATTAATCTTATATTAAGTACACGAGGAAAAAAGAAGTAGAATTTTGTTTTCTTTATTAATATTTAGCCTTCGTTATTATTTCGATGGTATCTAATACTGATTATTATAACAAGACTGATTTTAGTTGCTCACTTTCTCATTTAATTAGTCACTATGCATTGGTGACCAATGAAAGTCACCAACACGGTTTTCACTAAGTGAAGATTTTAACCACTTACTGACATATTTAATAATTTATAGACCACTTTTAATCATTTAGCACTGTACTGTTTTAAGGAGAAAAATCATCTTTTAACGACCCCAGCCTAATTCAAAATATTCTTATGTCCAAAAGACGATTGAAATTTGAGTAGTATACTCTTTGATGAAGTTTTATTCATTCACTAATGTGGCATGGGCAAGCTACGCAGATAAGTCAATGGCTATACATTAGCAAGTGCCTAAGGCCAAGAATCAACAAACTAACCAATCTAAGACAAATAACTGTCTAAATAATTAACTTTGCAATACTTCGAAATTAGCTACGATACTCTCTCAAGACGAAAATGTTAAAATTTCCCATTGCTCATAAAGATAGTTTAATTGAGTAGTGAATTAGCTCCTTAGCCATTGAACATAACGAATTGGTAAATAAATTAGCTTAAATTGTACTATAATTAAACTTAAAAATTGCTATAGGGTCTAGAGTACAAGTACAATATACCAAAGCTCTATAGCATTGCAACTAAATTTAAACAATCTAATTCAGGTAACTTCTTTTATACAACTTTTAACAGTATTCACCTCATGACCATCCCCCTAAACCAACAAAAGGATTTCCAAAATTGGTGCTGGAATTCATGGTTCATTGGACATAAGAGACTCGTACGGTTATACCCAGAACCTTTCAATACATTTAAACGACGGGGCTACTAAAAATACGTAACAGAAACTTCCGCTAACCCATCTATGCTTTAGTAAATAAGAAGAAAGTTCTGGGATTCTAAAAAATCTTCCTTTATATATACAATACTCGGTAATACTAATTGCTAGGAACGAGCACCCTAGAATAGAGAAACAGTAAAAGCAAATGCAAAAGGGTAGCATCAACCTCCTACTCAAAGGGAAACATTAATCAAGAATGAACCAAATCTCTTCGCTTGTGGCTTTCCCAACACTTTTGAAGGGTTCCTCATGTGTGTTCCATGTTCTGGAGAGCTTGAAGGCAGAATATAAGACAAGTGGCTTTGGTAAAGTATGTTTATCAGGCTCCCTTCTTCTTTTGGTCTTTTTTAGATTTGACCTCCTTTGTAAGCATTCTTGGAGCTATAGCCATAGCCATTAACTCTTGGAACAGGAGCTTACAAGCATAAGGAATGAAAACCTACAGTACAATCAAAGCGAAGAAATTCAGCACAAGGAAAGCTTGGCATTGTCTATATTACCAGAAGAGATAAATTACCATTCACCTGAACAATGTCAGTTTTGTTCTTGCACCCCCTGCACTCGAAGGAATTCTTCTTGAGATTTGCAATAGCTATCAACCCACACCGCTCACATACATGGACCCTATATGCATCACTTTGATCAAACAACCTTTCCTTTAGGAAGTGAGCAGCTCCATGAGCTATCATGCAATCTCGTTCCATCTCTCCAAATCGGAGACCTCCATCTCGTGACCGTCCCTCAGCAGGTTGCCTTGTGAGGATCTGCACAGGACCCCGTCCCCGAGAATGGATCTTGTCGTCAACCATGTGCTTCAGTCTTTGGTAATATGTAGGACCAAGGAAAATCATTGCACTGAGACGTCTCCCTGTATGACCATTGTACATAGTCTCAAAACCACGCATTTGGTACCCGCATTTGTGTAGGGCTTTGCTGATATTGTCCACCTGGGATTAAAGTAATAATAGAATTTCAAATATGGACAACATATATATTCAATGTCTTGAGATAAACCTTCAAAAAGGAATTTTATCCGACAGGTGAAGTTGAAAAATTATTTTGACTGAAGACTTGTATAAAAAGATATAATTTACCCTGCACAACAAACACCTGCCTTTTGGTCTACGTGATTAGGTCCATAGTTATATAATTGTTTGGTTCACTTCTGGGCAGACATTTTTTCACAGATAGCTTACTCATAATATGTTGGCTAAATATTAATGACAGGACAAAAAGTGGCCACTTAAAGTTTTATTAATAGGAGATTTTCTAGGAATCATATTTTGAAATTATGGTTATTATTAGACCCTTTTTTAGACAGTTTATTTTAGGAAATATATTCTGTACATACTGTACTTATAAGTATAAATATATATAATTTGAGAACAAAATATTATTCCATTTTTCGCAAAAGATACCACAAGGGCACATATTGTCCACTAGTTTTCTTGTGTAACTGGACGGGTAACAAGATTCAAAAGGAGAACTGGAAGAAGCTTATTTATGTGAGCATTTACAATTTCTAGCAAATATTTGTTGTCTCAACTGGAAAATTGGGTTGAAGAAAGCTACTTACAGTAACATCTGTAAAAGGAGTAGCATCTCCTTCTTTTCCCATGTGAGCCGCCACCTTCCCCATGATACACTCAATAAGCTGACCAATTGTCATTCGAGAAGGAATGGCATGTGGATTGACGATAATATCAGGGGTGATGCCTTCCACAGTCCAGGGCATGTCTTCTTGTGTATAAGTCATACCAACAGTCCCCTTCTGACCATGTCTACTACTGAATTTATCACCAATCTGTGGTATACGAACAGATCTCACTCTTACTTTCACAAATCTCAATCCATCAGCATTTGTTGTCAGCAAAACCTACAAAAGAGAAAAAAAAAATTATAATCCAGTAATGACAAGAATTCAGGATTCCGGAATACATTAATATGTTCTAACTTCACATATAGACATTTTATTTTTGTCAAGCAACTCTTTATTTAATAATTAAAATTTTAAAACTCCCATTCATTAACCATTCACAACATAGGTTCAAACTCAACATGTAACACATTGAAGTAAATGATTATGATAAATTTACTTGATCAACAATTCCAGTTTCACTGTGACGTAAGCTTATGCTGTGATCACGCCTTGTGTATCGTAAAGGTTGTCCCTGTGCCTCATCCTGGGATATTGGGGTGGTCTTTCCAATAATAACATCCTCACCGGATACTCTTGTGCCCTATTTCATAATAAAAATTTAGTTCTTGTAAAATTTATCAGGGACAGTCAACAAAAAGCATAAAAACAGATATGCTTACTGGTGGTGCAAGACCATCGTCATCCAACTTATCATACGAACCATGTCTCATTCCCTGCAAAATGAAACACGGGAATAAACCCCAACAAGAAACCAATATCGTTTCCCAAATAAAAAATACAAAGCAAGATTAGTAATTTGCCACCAAAGCCAAAATTCTCACCATGGTGTTAGCTCTATCTGGTCTGCCAAAATCTTCTTTGACTAGGGTTCCCATCTTCTTCTCTTCGTCCCTATAAATGTTAAAGATTGCAGCATTCATAGAAATCACAAACATGACAATCAAAAGGAGAAAATATCTAATTATGGGTATATATACCTATATGAACGGAAAAACAGAGACCGAAAGAATCCTCGATCTATTGATGATTGGTTCATGATCACAGAATCTTCTTGATTATAACCAGAATAACAGGCAATGGCCACAATGGCATTCTAAACACAAGGGGTGAATGTATAAGAATGGTTAAACTATCAACAAAATGATAAATAAAGAAAGCAAGAATTTACAATTCCAGCTGGGAGTTGACGGAAATGAAGATGCTCCATGGCTCTAGTAGTGACCAGTGGTTTTTGTGGATAATATAGAACATAGGCCAGGGTATCCTATGTAATGAAGCAAAAACATAAATTAAAATCCAGTGTCAAGTAAAAATACACATACAGAAAAACAGCTACAGATTAATCACAAAAAAGAACAAAAAGTACCATTCGAAACTGGTAATTGGTAACATATATTCCCATTGCTTGTTTTCCCATTGCAGACTGATAAGTATTACGTGGGGACTGATTACACCAGCCAAAGGTAAG